AAATTTAACAAGCATAGATAATACTGTGTTCTTTTTAAATTAAATGTTATTCTTGTGTTGTCAGTTATTGTATTTTAACACTATTTCTACCGATGGTGTCGATAGATACTGTCTGAAATTTTAGCTTAAAATTGTTTCCTTAATTTAATCATTTTTCTTCCATTGAATTTTGGACATTTTCTATAGTTAATTTTATAATCGTTATTGGAAAAGTTGAAAAGTCAATTCAGAATGTATGATTAAACTTGGAAAATAATTCTAAATTAAAATTTCAAATGGTGTCTTTTAACACCTTTGGTAGAAATAGTGTTGAAGCAGACATGAATTTACAATATATTTAGAACTTTTTTCTTTTTCTCAATAAATGATTACTAGCAAAGTAGGTATACCGATCATAGTTAGGAAATAAATCGTAGAGCAAGTAAATCTTGGAAAGTCTTCGTTTAGGTGCCATCTTCTTTCTCACAAAACGGGCTGAACAGTATTAGCGTTTATTGAAATTATAATGCCATAATTGGTATTTATTGCAACAGTTAAATATTTATAAATCTTTCGAAGTACTTCATTGAATGCGTTCCCTTTTTGTGATGCGAGTTAAACAATATTGATATTTATTAAAATAGATTGGAAATCTTTGACTCCAACGAATTGACAGAATCTCCGGAGAGATAAAAAAATGTGAAAAGTTATCATAAGAAACTTTCCGTAAACATAGTGGCAAACTCTTTTGCCCAGTGTTAATGATTAAAATTCTGTAATTTTAAATGTGAAATTGACATCATGATGCCTACATCAATTTTATTTTCACATTTTAAGAAACGAATTTTTCCTTTCTGATTATACACGGATTCCTCTACTAGATGTAAGTAGACGAGATCTACTGTCAATCAGACAATGTTTCTCAAATTTATTCATTAAATATTCAATTACAATTAGGACTATAGTATTGACACAGACCAGCTAATAACGTGTTTATCCACGGCTGACCATGTGCGAACTGTTCTACTGGTACGATAGTATTCAGTACCATACACAGTAGGAATTTGTAATAGAACAATGCTTCAACAATCTGTTACAGTGAAGTAGAATACTTTACATTGTTATTTAATCAAATCGTATAATTACTAACTAACAATAACTTAATCGATCTTTCAATAACAATGATAAATTATAATCTCGAACCAACAATTTTTCTATACATAATATGATATAAAAATTTCTTTCCAAATAATAATTTGGAAATTATTACTTCACAAAAGAATCACTCGTTTTCAAACTATCAACTTCTTTCATAATATATCACAGATATTAAGAAGTCAAAACGTCAAGAAACCACGAACAAAATAAAGTAACTTTCCACTTCTCTATCTGAAGAATCCCCTTTATTTTGAAATATTTTACCTATTCCACAATACGTCACTTTACACCGCACTTCAACAAACTCAATTTTAAAGACAAGACGAAGTTTCTTCCTTGTCCGACCATACACGTACAATTCTACTGCACGCGACGAGTAGAAGAAAATCGATAACAGTGGCATAACCATTAATAAATGCGTACGAATCCATGCAGCATTTGTGCCGGAATAATTTTGAATCCGCCATTGGAACTTCACTCTACCGGAACGAACAAAAAAATATATATATATATATATGTATATAAAATCGCTCGTGCTGTATAATCCTTCGCGGGGAGCAAGCATTAAAGCTTTAAAATCGCGATTCGATTCACCGAGGTCTGAAATTCTCTCGACCGGAAACAAAACGGCTCGATGTCCACGATGGGAGGAAAAAAGAGGGAAACCCTCTGGACAAGTCGTTATCCGTAGAAATCCGTGGTTCCATTCCGGTTCATCCTTGTCCTCACTCGTGTCGATCGTGTTCGGAGATAGGGCTATCGCCGGACGCTGCGTTTTTGCACGTTCAGGATTTATTCCGACAAATTTGATGATCGCTGCTCTCGCTTTCAAGCAGCCGGTGAAGATTGAAAGATTATTTTTGAATGTTGATTTTCGCGAGAATTAATGGAACCGCGTTGCCTCCAAAAATTTTTAACGACCTGCCTGTACTTTAAAAACGTTGGGCGACACGCGGATCGTTACGTTCGATTTAAAATTTAATTCACGCGAGCGCACGGTTTGACAGTTTGCACGGTGTTCCGCGTTAATGATTTTAATTAAAATTAAATGGAAATGTATAACGTGAGATTTTGAAAAATGGATTATTATTCGTTGTCAATTACCAGTGGCTATGGAAGTGGTAATAACAGATTTTAATAGTATATTAGTTTTCCTTTTGGGAATATACATGTTGGAATTGAATTGGTCTGATGACAATTGTCTGAATCTACTTAACTGAATAAAAACATACCTTTTCACGGTTCGCTTACGTCAATTACACGTCAACTGTTTTACAATTCATATTTCCTTATGAATATTTATTCTTTCCCGCTTGTTCGAACGTTTGTTACTAAATTATTTAACAATTCTAGTTAACATACTCAGATTACTATTAAATGCAATGCTACCAATATTTATGAATAGAAATATTTCAATCTTTTATTATTCAGATATCCCTAATGACTTTTGTACACTTACACTTCAAAGAAATTATACAAATTAACTGGTTGAACATAATTTCCTTCCATACAAGAAAAACAAATAAAAACTCTATAATCAAAACAATAAAATGAAATTGTATAAATACAAACCTTTTCCTTACCTCAATTATTAAACATGTTTATTCTTCAACAATCGTCTTACGTGTTTTAATTATTTTTAAGGAATTTATAAGCTCCACTTGTCAATGACTAGTCAATGCCAGTCAATGTGTTAACGGTCAAAAGGCACATGCATGCATGTATTGTAGAACACCTACACTGGTCCGCGGACAAAGGCGCAACGTAATCGTCGCGGGTTATTCACGTGTTCGATGCCAGCAGTTCGCGAAACCGAGCGTACCGAACGTGACAAAGAATCGATTTTAATCGAGCCCACCGGATCCGACTGAAATCTCGCGCCCACGAAAAGGAATACCTACGTCGAACGGACTCCGTTAATCGCGTAATAACGAGCCGTTCCGTTTCCCATTCTAGCAATGACGAAAAAAAAAGAAAGAAACAAAAGTAAGAAAAAAGAGAGCCGGGGAGACAAAAGATAAAAATATCCGTCGAAGCAATTATCGTCGACGATTTTCGTCGGTGGTCGACGAGTTGCATGAAAAAAGAGAACAGACTGGCAGAGGGAGACACGAACGAGAAAAAGGTTCACGTAGAAGAGGGAAAAGGGAGACTGCGGAAGAAGGGATGTAGACCTGGCGAATGAGAACGCGTCTTGGATGTTGTACCACAGGTTTTTAAATCTAACATCGAAAGCAACGAATGAAAAGTAGAATTATATAATGAGAATTAGAAGATCAGTAGATATATTAATTGGTCGTTTAGAATCTTTTTGATTGACTAAATTAGTTATTTGGTTGTTTAAAATCTTTTTGATTGAGTAAATTAATTTCTTAGTTATTTAAAGTCTTCTTAATTACATAAATTAATTGTTTAGTTACTGAAGAATGTAATAACTCAGTTCGTTATGGAAACAATTTTTGATATTCCAACTACCAAATTGGGAAAAATGGTACTTTTCATATTTCCAGTTTTAAAATCGTTCAATAAACGCACACGATTTTCTAATGAATTATTGAATAAGTAGGTTTAGTAACGTATGAAGTACATAACATATATGCCAATGGAAATCTGAATAAATGCACTTTTATCGGTGATAAAAGAAAATACAAGCCAGTCAATTTAACTGCTCGGTAGTTCTACTGTTAATTCGTCGGACGCAGCCTCGCGTGAATTCCCCCCTTCTCTCTCTCTTTCCCTTTCCATTTTTTTCTCCTTTTCTCTTCCCTTTTTTCCTGTGTCCCGTATGAGAGAAATCATCTTTCAACCGCGATACACGGTGCGCTGGTCCTCAAACATTTCGTTCGTTCACACTGGCGAGCCGAAATTGCTGCTACCGTTCTGTTCCCCTCGTGGTGAGATTTCCGCCTCGCGAAAATCGGCCCGAGGGAAATTCGTCGCGAAATTATCGATGCGTGTCTACGAACGTGGTCACTCTGAACAGGTCCGTTTCGCGGAAAGAATTCGACGGTGAATGGTGATTTTGATCGAAGATTCAATGACGAACCATTGAAGATTCTAGTGGTAGCTTATGAACAGGTGTACATGAACCGATGATAGAGATGTTTATTGAATTGATTGCAAATTTTGTGTGCAGTGTGAGATGGATATTGGGGTGATATTATTAATGAAATGAATGTGTATGATTTTTTTAGTAACTGGTGCAGGACTTTTGGTGGGAAGTTATTTAATGATGGATGATATTAATGGATAAAATATAATTTTACGAAGGAATATAATTGAAATATTCCTTTTATTTTTAGATTAATTAGAAGTAGGCGTAGAGAAATATATTTAAATATTTTTCTTATTTTTGAATTGAAATATTTTCTTTATTTTTAGATCAATTAGTAGTAGGTGTTCAAAACGAATTAGATGTGTATTAATGAATGTGATTTTATTTGATTCGACTAGATGACTTTTCTTAATACTAAAATAATAACATCCACTTCTGTTGCAAAATTATGAAAAAGTTCTTTTATCTATAATACAATTATTTCCAACATAAAATTATAACACTAACACAAACATAACACAATCGCAACTTCCATCGCCTTCCAGTTGTAAAAATCCAATCACAATAATCACAAACACCCCACGTCGATTACAACCACGCATTAATTACCACTTACTCGACTAAAAGTAACCAGTTGGAATGCAGTGCCGTTACTGCACAGAAACTAATAATACCCGACAAACGTACGGACAATGTGTATAACCAAACTTATTTATATTACAAACCGACAAAACATTCTATTTATATTCTCGACGAACGTTCCACTTCAAAGGCCTAAAGCATCCCTCTCTTCTTTCTCTCGTTCCAGATACCGCAGCTCGCTCCCTCGCCGCGTTCCCGATTGACAGCGATCCGGTCACACCTCTGTCGAAATAATGCGAGCGAAGCGCATCGAGGAGGAGACGCGCTTCAGACTGCTGAGGTACACGCACCGCGCCAAGTGTCGCAAGATCATTTAGTCGATCGGACCTGATCGCGCGACGCGGGTCAAACTGACGAAAGAAACGAGACTGACACACGGAGGAGACTGAATAAAATCGCACGGACGACACCGGACCCTCGCGAGTCGACCCTACCACTCACCTGGCTGTGATTCCATACTTTTAAATTAAAATTAAAACAAGCCGAACCAACAGAATCGGACACCAGCGGACTCAATAATTTCTTCTCGTCCTCGACTTATTAATCGATCCTGCTCTCTCTACTCGGCGTACGTGTGTGTAACGAAGAAGAAACGTGTTGCAATCTCGAGTGAACTGATCGACAATTGTTAAATGAACGTTAATATCGTTGTTCGAAAGAAACACGCGAAGATTGGGTGGAAATTTAGTGAACGATTCGGTGAAATTGTGTCACGAGATCGTTGTCGTTTCTTCTCTCGCGTGGTCCTAAGAGCCGGGAGGTTCAGAAAATAGATCGGTGAGAACATTTCTCGGTGGAGAGTGTTGCGACAGCTTCGAGGGAACTGCGGGAATTGTTTTTGTTCGAGGGAGAGGAGTTTCAGAGAATCTGTGGCTGGAACTGCGTTGGATTTGAGAAAGATAGAGCTGACGGGAAAGCGTAGATCGTCGTTGGAGATTTTTGTGCTGGATCTAGAACGTGTTTGTTGCCAGTGGATGATAAAGTGAGAGTCTTAAAGAAATAATGATAGAATTGGAAGCGAGATAAGAAGCCAGTGAACCAACGTAGTGAAGAGACATGTGAATATTTCAAAAATCTGAAAGTGAAAATTGAAAGTCTGAGTACAGTAGACTTTTCCCTATTCGATAATTTAAGGAGGCTGATAGGAAATCGAGTATACAGAAAAAAGAATTTTTTCGGAGTTAGTGTAAAAATAATAATCTCGATGAGTTGAAGGAAATTCCGCCAAATAAGAAGAAAATTGATTAGAGGAAGCTGAAGTGAAAGTGTATACGAAGTTTGGAAGTCTCGAAGATACTTTGGAAATTATATATTCGTGGCTAAAGTGTGAAGTGAAGTAAAATGTAAAAGGATTAGAATAATTGGCAAAGGGATTTTGCGATTATAAGGGTAGTATTACAAATCACGAGATTTGTCGGGAATCCACGGGCAAAAGTAACGGAAAAAGTACTTAAAGGCTTTCGATTCGTAAAGAGACCCTGCGCGGTGAATTTGAATTAAAAATAAAAGGGATCTGGATGATAGAATTATAATTGAAAGAATTAAAAAGACTAGTGATTATCAATTGAAATAAAACACTCGCGAAACCCGTCGCGTATTAGGAAATAACTCAATCAATTCAAGGAACTCGAAACAAATTCTCTCGATTTCAAAATAAAAATATAAAAATCTCCTAATAGGTATTCAAACAATACAAGATAACCACTATTACACATTTACAATAAACATTTCAAAAAGAATTCAGGAACTTGTGAAATCAGTGAAACCACAAACTTATTTCAATATCTTTTTAAAAAAGAAATGATACGTTAAAGCTTCAAGTACCAAGTATTTTTCGCTGTCCAAGGATCAAAGAAGAAGTATGCAAAATAAGAATCATAATAAAAGAAACAGTTTTATCGCGATAAAAAATTGACAAATCACAGTACGTTAAATAAATTTCAATACCTTCCTAAAAAAGACAAGTCACTTCACAACTTCGAGATACCAAACATGTTTTCGATATTAAGAGGATCAAGGAAGAAGTGTATAAAATAAAATTCATGATAAATCGAGGAGTAGTCGTGTTATAATTAAACAGGCCGAAGTTTTTCGAAATATTTTTCAACCAACGAAAACACAGAAAATCCGCGAAGATCGCTGTCAAGAGGCTCCAGGAAGCAGCTCGAACGGGGATAAAATAGCAGCGAGAATGCCGAGAGAGCCGTGCGCCCGGGATCGAAGCTTATCCATCGATTTACCAGCCCCCGCGAAGGGTTGACGCTCGAAAAGAGTATTCGGGGATCAACTACGTGTCCCGGGGCAGCTCGAAAGAGATAATAAAAGGGTGTACTTCCCCCGAATCAGAGGAGCTCGCGGAGAAGCTAGACACTCCGGGGGTGGTTTAAGGTTCGAGGGGTTGCTCCGCTTTGACGAAAACCGCTCGGAGCGTAACCGTGCCGACGTCGAACGGAGAAAAGTAGTTGAAAAGGCAAACGTTGACGCAATCAAAGCGATATAGAAAAAGAAATTCCTGTTTAACAAAAAAATTACACTACCAGGGGGTGGATTTCGGTATTGAAGAGGTGGTCCCAGACGCTTACATATTAAAACGGAAGGAAGAGATTGAAAAGTTGAGACGAGAAATAGAAGTTTATACTGAAGATTGAGGAATTGTATCTGAAAGGGGTGGTTTTGAGTTATAAATGTATTTTGGTGGTTAGTGGAATTGATTCCAGTGAAATATCAATGGGGGGACATCGACGAAAAGGAGAAAGATAAGGAAAAGTGCAGTGATAAAAGAAAGAATATTTACAGTTTATTAATAAATTGTAGTGTAAGGCGGTGTTTTCAAGTTATAGGTGTGACCCATGTCTCTGATGTCGTAGGCAACTAACAACATTGGAGGACAGAATAAACATAGCTCAAAACATGAAACAAGAGATTAAGAATTTATAAATTATAAAGAATTATATTGCGAAGGAGTGGTTTTGATCTTCGACGGGGGTGGTACATGTTTCAAATATCCTAGTCAACCAAAAATACTGAAGAAAGGAGGAAACACCTCAAAGAACAATACGAAGACTTAGAAACTTATAAGCTACAAGAAATTATACTGGAAAGGGGTGAATTCGTTCTTCAAGGGGGGTGATCCGCATTTCAAACATCCTAGTCAATCAATTACACTGAAGCAAGAAACGAAGACACTTTAAAGAATGAACCAGCAAATTCATAATATATAAATTATTACAAAATTACATACTACAGGGGTGACTTTATTCTTTAGGAGGGTTGGACCACATTTCAAATATCCTAGTCAACCAATGACATTCGAGCAACAAGCAACAACACCTCAGAGAATAAACCAAAAAGTTCATAATTTATAAATCACTACAAAATCACATCCTAAAGGGGTGACTTATCTTCGAAGGGGAGGGTCCATATTTCAAACTTCCTGATCTCGAGAAATCCACGGAACTCAAGAAGAACACAGAAAATTACAGTCGGTGTGATATCCCGAAAGAAATTCATAGCGTGCTCCCGAGGGCGGAAAAGGATACAGGGGGTGAATGATGGAAGGGAAACGAGTATCGAATGAGCAGCGTCAGCGTGCCGGTACGTTCTCCCCAGTGCGGTGAAGTCGCGATACCGAAATGGGAACGGCGATCGGGTTCCGGCGGCGATACTAGATCAACGACTCGTGGTCCGGGGGTGGAATGAACGAATCCGGGGAGGTGAACCGGAAGTCGACGCCGCGGAATCAGGACGGCGCGCTGCCGAAACATCCGAGGTGAGGAAAAATTCAATCGGAAGGGGTCGCAGCTGCGGAGACGAGGGTTAACGAGGATTCGGGATTGGATCGGTGAAATAATTGGGTGCGGAGGTATGCGCGAGCCGAAGGAGGAATTAGAAAAGGAAGAAGGAGTTGCTCGGCATAGATTCTCGGCAATTGAACTCGCGGAGAAACATTTTTTCCGGACATTCGTGCGGTACGCGAGATCTTGAAAGTATTAAAAACTGATTATAACAATGAAAGAGGGTTGCTTCGAGAAGTAGTGGAATTTAAAGGAACGTGAAGCAGTGAACAGTGACGTTTGGGGTGGCTAGTGAGTTTAAAAGTGAAATTAACGAAGACTTGAAGTGAAATTACTAAATATATGCGGTCAATAGTTGACGAAAAGGATCAAACACAGGGTGAATAGTTAAATTTTTCGAGAGTTTGTATCATCTATAGCTTTGGTGTACTAACTTTGAAGACTGAATAATGGAAGGGGTAGCTTTTAGGCGGCGCGATAAGTGAGAATTGAAAAGTGTTCAGTGAATTCGAATTTAAAGATGGGATCAGTGAAGATTCTATTAAGCACGGACGACAGTTGACGAGGCAACAGGGTAGCTGAGTACTCAGCGTAAAACCGGAAGCGTCCAAGTTCCTGTGCTTCCGGTGAGCGACGAGAATACCAGGAGAGTTCTTGGAAGTTGTTTCAGTGTTTCCGACGTCGACGACGGCACAGAAAAGTCTGGTAAACATTCGACTTCCTCCTGCGACTTGAAACATCCGCTGGTAGACAGGAAGTCGGCCTCTTGATCGACATCCATCCCATCGGAAGGAAAAGTCTCGAGAGCGTAATTAAATTGATTGATCGAAGGTAATCCATGAATCTCGGAGTCAGCGACAGCTTCGCCCGTTTCGCGGAACGTTTTTATTCGTAACGATTCATTACAAGAAAAAGGGGGCAACTAATAGTTCTGGCTTAGCAAAGGAGCGAACGCAGTTGTAGGTGAAAGAGCATTAAGGTCAAACACCCGTGAAAACAGCGAAAGAAAGCGAACGGTGGAGCAAACTGGCAATCAACAAGAAAAAATATAAAAGAACATATTACCGGAGAAAAGCAGTTAGATCGCTTTGTTTGAAACTGGGTTAGGAAAGAAATCTAAAGGACCTGTGCAACTAGTCAACAGAGGTAACTAAGTTAAAAGAGTGACAGAAAATGAAGTTCTAAGAGGAATCTCTGATAAAGAAAGCAAACAGACTGAAAACAAGTATCGAAGCGTGTACTCGATGGTACTTTAAGATCACGGTTAAATAATACAGGATTCAAGGAAGCAATCGTGCAAGGTGTCAGCTGAAAGGAGCTCGCGTGTAGACTGCTGAAGGATTCCTAAAGCGAAGAGGTCATCGAAGGAAAGCATGGGCCAGATGGAACTGGTCATCAAATTAAAAGTTCTGCTTTAATTCGCTTTGAGTGGAGCATTAAGAGCTGAAGAGAAGAGAAGTGAAGAGTCTGAAGTGGGTTCTAGCAGAGCTCAGCGGATAGTTAATGAATGATGACTTCGGTAATCCGTTGATCGATCGCTGATCAGTGGAAGGTTAAAGATGGAAATGGCGATCCAGGTGAATCCATGGTGTCTTTCGAGTCCAGTCGCCAGGCCATTCGAGTCCTCGTTCAATCGGAAGCCCTTCGCCGCCCTTGGAGAGGATCGTACGGACGCGGCAGAGGAGCTTGGCAACTAAGATGCGAGAACTGAACGCCACCGCGTGCGCTGCTTTGTACGAGCGCGTCGAGTGGTCCAGCCCCTGGAACCTGATTACCCTGATCATCCTGGCGGTCGTGAACGTGATGGTGGTGCTAGGAAACGTGCTGGTGATCCTGGCTGTCCACCACACCAACAAACTGCGCAACGTGACGAATATGTTCATCGTTAGCCTGGCTGTCGCTGATTTGATGGTCGGCCTGGCTGTGCTGCCATTCAGCGCTACGTGGGAAGTCTTCAAGGTAAGCTAGTTTCATTATTTCTTGGCAAAGTGTTTGTTCAATTAACTTAGAAGTATTTTTATTAACTGTTTAGACATTGGACGAAGAAAATAATGTTTGTTAATGGTAAAACGGTGTTACCGATGAAAGAACATTTTTCAGTTGTCTCTGTTTTCTTTGTTTGTAGTGTTAGAAGTATTTTAATCGTGTATATTTATCATGTCGTTCAGTCGTTTTTTATAGATTGATGCGAATTTCTGTTTGTATTCTGCTGATCTATAATTTCTGATTCTACTGTTAATTAGAGTTTTCGATATATTCTATTTTGCTTATTTTTCTTTATTTTCAAGTTTCCCGTGATCTTCCATTTAGATATTCAGGAAAATTAATATCAAACTGTGTAAATCTTCCTATATTTCTGACACACAACCAGCGGACTGTGTATAAAGAATCTAATTGACACAGACAGTTTCCAGGTCCGTTCCAATTAAAATCTGCAATGCATTTTTAACAATCCGAATAATTAGATGTACCCATTACTGCAGGGAATAATTATTACGGGAATCAAGTTACGTTGTTTAACGTTTGTTGCACAGAAAATATCGAAAAATCAAACGCTCGTCAACTAAAAATGATTCGATCTTTTCAAAGAAAATGGTAATTGGTCGACGTTTTGACATTTTCTATGCCAATTATCGTGATCTCAAATCGCTGGGCTTTGATCCTTGCTGTATTTACGATCCTCGTAAATCGATCGTCTCCTTTTTGGTCCGAGGAAGATGAACACAATGGCGTCAATCGAACCGGTGATGAGTTAGCCAGTTTCAAAGCGGCGAGTCCCAGCCACGTTTAACTACGAGTACTCTCTCGCGTTGAAGCATTTGCGGAAACGCTGTTTCTGAAATCCGAAACATTGTGAATTTATGATAATGGCCATGTAACAGCTGGATATCGATGTGGAAACGATTTCGGGATACCTGGAAATTTGCACCAAATCGCTCTCAGATAATTACCTTCTCCGTTCGTCAAACGTGGATAGTGGTCACGTGACCGACTTTATAAAGCTGTTTCCATAAATCATGTTAGCTTCTCGTTAATAAATTTAGATTTAATTCTCAATTTTGGAAGTTTTGCAGAAATAATAATACCAAATTTTATACGTTTAATAATTAAGTAATTTAATCATTTACACACAGAAATAATATACAATGCTAAAAACCTCTTGAAACCAGACAACAATATGATAAAATATGGCGTTCAATATTTACCATTTATTATTCAATAAAATCATTAAAAAATGAATCAACTCATCCATCAACCTTGTACTCCAAATGACCGAAGAAACGATACAAATCTACTATACAAAAATAAAATATATAGACTAATGGACAAACCACTAAACTGATATAAAATTAATTACGTAAATCGGAAATTAAATCATTAGAATGTTATAAAAGCAAATGAATATTGAATCAAATTACACGCGTCTAACGAGCAAACTCAATTTTCTCAAAAAGGACAATATAACATTTGATGTTCACTAATTACCGCAAAATACCCGATGTTCCATGTATTATGGCAAATATTCGCTCGCTTTTCAGCGTCGCGTCTCATCCACCCGAAGAATAACGGGCAAAAAGGGTGCACGCGAAAAATAACCGAGTCGCAGGGTAGTAGTCGGGTCACGGGGGTGGGTTAGGCGCAACAGTTTGCCGGATTCCGGACTTCGTCTCTGCCGAGCCGGGGTTGCGGCGCGCAGAAAGATGAACGTTCGCATTAGGAAGGGATCGAGGGTGGAAAGTAAGGGATGTCGAGACCCATGGCGCCTCTTATCCAGACTTAACAGCGAGGGTTCGGGATCTGAAGCGTTTTAAACTAGATTAAACGACTTTCATCTGATCGCCAAAACGCTCTTGGTGATCCCCTTGGATGGAGCTCGTCGACGCGAGGGGTTGGGAGACAAGTGTTACGATTTCGGGACGTTCTGAACTCGATTAAATGAACGGCCTCGTAAAAATCGTGGTATGGAGTGATACGAGGACTTGGATGTAAGTTTATTGAGTTGAGCTTGTTGACCGTGATAGAGATCATTCGTGAGATAAGGCAGTGAAGTATAATGTATTTATTAATTGAAAGTGTTATATATTGTAAACTTAAGATTTACTTTTTAGACAAACTAGATATTAAAAGTTTATACTATTTCCTTTTGAATTATGATTCTATAAACTTTATAGACTAAAAATTATTGTATCAACAGCTCAAGGGAACAATAAATTATTAACTATTATCTAGTAAGATAGCATTATTAAATATTAGTAAATTATTGGTGACTCAATAAATCTACATTGTAGTTATGTACACTATAAAGAAGATTACTCTAAATAATTTTTATTCAAACATTTCTTAATCATTATATACGTGTTGATTTAACCATTGATTAGTTAATTGGTTAAATAAAATTTTTAAGTATTTATGTAACAAGTATAATTTATTTTTCTCATATATCAACCCCTGGGAAAAAGAAATACGTCAAGAAATAATGACCTGAATAGCTAGTATTTTAAAGTATCCTGCGCGTAGGGCGACACCGGAGGCGATCCTCGCATATTCATCCTCCACCCTTGCTGGTGTGCACTTTTGAACCTCGGGTAATGGTAAATTGGAATAGCGTGCGAGTGCACAGAGAACTTCAGGGAAATCTATGGGAGCCTGGAGGAAATTCGGCCGGGAAAACGCGGTTAGGTTCCCGGGATTCAAACATGCGAACGCTGCGGTGAAAATGGACAGAGGAAGGAAGCGAAAAATGTTACTGACATACGCATAATTAACACGTTGACAGCTGAAAAATTCGCACAACGTCGGAACGTTTTTGTTTAAACCTGAAATTTGTTGGAGAATATTTATTCTATTTATTAATTTAATTTTTCTTCATTGTTTTTAATTTACGATGGCGAACAATTGCAGATTTTCACAGCGGATCGTTATTTTGATTCAACTTTGATATAGTGTGAATTTGTCTATTCTTCTTGACAACAGTTTGTTGAGACTTATTAAAATGTCTGATATATAAATGAAATTTTTAATATAAAAATTTGTAACGATTTGGGTGTGTAATGTAATGTTAAAGGTTTTAATATAAAAGTTTGAAGAATTTCTTACAGTGTTTCTTAGATACATATTGTACAGTTTACTAAATATGATTTGCATTGTTCAAAGTATAAACGAACGAATAAAGCAACGGAATCCATAGACTTTCTAGAACATTATTTTTTAATGGCTAATTCTTCAACGAGACTTCCCTCCCTTTTTCTTATGCAAACGCGACCGTTGTTGTATTCGAAGTCTCCTCGGTGAAAACAAAAGGTTCTCTGAGAGGAATAATTAATTAAACACCGTTAGCGCTGGGTTTCGTTACATTTCCCATAAATTTCCGCAGTATTTGCTCGAGTTTCAAACGACGTTATCGCACGGCGCGAGAATTAAATGTAATGCGGCTCGAACTGTACCGAAACTTTTCAAAAACCGAAACTAATTCCAGCTTGAAATGTAAATTGTTCGAATTGAAGCTACCACCATCAGAATAGATTTCAATCAATCTTGCCAAATATATAAAGCTTCCCAAAGAAAGTTACTTCGTTGTGAAATAATTTGAACATACTTCTAGAAATTCATCTGTACAACATACAATTTTAACGTGAATCAATAGTAGATGATCACAGATAGAAATAAGATCATAATACAGAAATCATTTACAAGCAGAATAATTCAAGCATTCAAAAGAAAGCCTTAATTTAGGGAATCGAAAATAAAAATTTTGAAAATTCATACCATGTCACATCATACACACATAAATACAATTTCAGTCCTTCTGAAATATTCTCAAATAAATTCCAAAAATGTCACCTCGTACCACATTCCAAAAATTCACTCTTCAAATCACAAGTAAAATTGGAAACTTAAAAAAACCAATAAAAATCTCTACATTAAAATTAAACTAAAATTAAATTTTAAAATAAACATTCAAATCAAAAAATCAGAAAAACACCCTTACAATCCTCCATCTTGCTTCCAAGCAAAACCAAACGAACAAATAAGCACTCAGAGCACAAGGCAAATCAAATGAATAATACACATCCAATTAGACCCACAGCAATACATAACCTATTCATATCAATAGGCAATTGTAACCCGTCAACCCTTTGTACTCCAGAGACGCCTCTCAGTCGCTATACCATTTGATGGATCAAAATTATCAAATTTAATATGTAATATTAAGCTTTGCATAATGTATTGGTACGTAAGACATTAAAATTAACTACTATTGTTCCTTAATTTATATGTGATTTCTTTGTCAGTCATTTTCAAAGAATGTTGCTTATATCTCATCAAATGATATTCCATTCATCCCTGTATTCTTGCCGCAAGATGACGTTCACCCCCATTTAACATTAGATTTACGGAACCCGTCAATTTGACGGATATTGAATTTTCTAAACATTGTTTAATAAATGTTTGGATCGATTTTGATTGATTCAATTACGTGATTATGGTTTCTAACAATACAACAAAACATTTACAATACATGTTTAAACATTTGATTTCCTAGTTCTAAACGGACGAACATCAATCATTCTGGGAACAGTGGAATAAACAGTACAATAAATGTCCGTAAATCTAGTGTTCAGATCGAAATCATCAATCATCCATTTTGATTGATGTAATTATACGAATTCATATTATAATTCTCCGCTCTTGACACAGTAATTTCTGCCATCGATATGAAAAACCATGTAATCTTCTAGGAGCAATACAATAAAGTGTAGAATAGACGCTCGTAAATCTAGTGTTAATATCATCGACATTATCCAATAATCCGACCGGTACCCGTGGGCGTCGCTACCAACGACTAGCCGGTGAAACAAACCGTGCCGCGGCCGTTTATCCCGAAGTTTACGGGATGTTGGATTAATAACAACGCGAGGGAAGCGTTATTGCGCCGGGCGAAGGGGTTGCTGGCCCGGGGGTTGACTAATCGAATCGAACAACGCCACGGCCAGGGGTCGAGGGGAATTCGAGAACAGGTGGTTGTACACGCGGCCAGCTGACGCGCCCTCTCACTTGCGCCCTGGACGTGTCTGTGTGTGCACTTACGGGGATGCGTTACCCCATTATGCGCGACACGCCGGCGAAGATCGAACACGCCAGCACCGTGTTCCCGTCTTAACCTGTAACAATGAATCGGGATGCGCGCGTCACGATGACCGATAATGGGCATCTGATTTTCGATAATCGGTGTTCCGTGCAGATGGCTGGTGCAACATTGTTGCCGGAGGATGTTGGGGATGAGAGCATCTCTGCTTGGATGGTACGACGGGTATTTGCTTCAGTGTAAGGGAACATGTGTATTGATGAGCACTCTATTGTTTTGAGTTTGATGGCTGGCTTTGAAGGTACTTGATTTTGACGGGAGAAAAAGTGTATTGCGATGTTTTGTAATTGTTGTTTGTTTTTTGGAATATTAATATCGTTTTGAAGGTGTACGATGGGGCTGAAAAAGAAATTATATTGCGATGTTTTATAGTTGTTTGTTTTTTTGATTATTAATATCTGTTAATAATGAAATTTATAGATACTATTATGATCATATGTGAGTAATAATATTGAAATCAGGTTAGTTATGCGAAAGCAAAATTTAATACGATTGTGTGGAAAGGTATTTAGTTTTGAGAGTGATATGTTTTATTATTCTAAAGAAAGTTTCTTTGTATCCGTAGATAGACATTGATTGGTTATCGTGAGAATATGTTTAATCGTGAATTGATGTAGATAAAATAAATTGAAAATTGGGATTCAGTTGATATCGTATTTCATAAGATACGCGCATTAAAACATGAATGTAAGTTACATGCGCGTCAAATATAGGAAGGATTCTTTTGAGTAAGGAAAATACATGAATTTCAAAAAGGTATCGCTTACAAATATAAATTCACATTTCTTCGCCAACCGAACGACTTTCTGGAGGCAGCTTTGCGCGATAGAATAAGGGGGTGTCTCGATACAGTATTGGTTCCGATACTCAGAAGGATGAGGGAGATTGAAATAGTGAATGGGGATGGATGAAAGAATTGTATTGTGCAATGGGTACATCGTTGAAACGAGGATTCCTGCGCAACTGTGTAACTTATTCCCATGAAAAGGATATCCAATACTGAATAACGTAAAACCATGGAAGAGAACTTAAAGTGAACGTATCTTGGGGATTCTTTTGAAGATATTGAAGAACGATAAGGGAAAAGGATAAATTAAGGGTCAATAAAGGATATTACGAATATCTACGATTGTTACGGAAAGTTAAAATTTCTTAAAATGTTTAATCTATCACGTCTATGGGTCTGTCATTTCAATTTTTCAAAAGTCTGATCCTTAGAATCTAGAAGTTTCAAAGTTTTCAAATCTTCAAGATTAAAAATTACAAATACTTAAGGACTTCAAAAATTTCAGATTCTTGAAGGTTGAAGTTATAAAAGTATCAACTTTCTTACAGCCTCATCCTCATATAACATTAAAATCTCATTATTCTAACGTGTTACATCAAGATTTCGAAGTTTCGACATTGTGGAACATACGGAAACTTTCCCATTTCAATATCTCAAATTGTTATCTCATTCAGATCTCTTAATGTTAATGAAAAATTTGAACCACTAGAAACATTAAAACTTTATTACTTCATCATTGTTAATTTAAACATTTGCAAATTTTAATGTAATAAGATAATATAACAATTAGTGTAACATAATAAATCAATATAATATAATAAAATAAAATACAATGTTATAATAAAGTCATATAATATAAGAAATTTCATGAAATACAATGATGTAATTAAATAGTATAATCTAATAAAAGAAAATTTGTGTCATTTTAATTGTTAAATGCAATCAATGCAATTGTCATCAATGATCTCTATTTGTTTTACTAAGGTCTGGATATTCGGTGATCTCTGGTGTTCCGTCTGGCTGGCGGTGGACGTATGGATGTGCACAGCATCAATATTGAATTTGTGTGCCATCAGCCTCGATAGATACTTAGCGGTGACCAGGCCAGTCAGTTATCCTCAGGCAAGTACCATTCTCCGATTATTCGATTTCGAGAAACAGGTGTACAAGCTGGAACGGTCGATGAAGCCATTCATCTCCTTCAATTTCTCCTTTATTCTCCCCAAATACTCCCTTTAGTATCCAATGTTTGCCTTCACTAGCTTAATTGATTGATATTCTCTTCACTGTACCATACACAATCAATACAGCTTCACGACTGTAAACGTAGGATTTCTTTGGATAGACGTAATTAATTAGAGTTAATCACTTAATGGCAATGTATATGTAACATACATTTGTCGCTTTATATCAATTTCACGTATTATATTATATTTTATTTATTAATCGACATGAATGAATCTTTTCATACATTTGTTAAACATAGTAATTTGTTATAGAATAATAGTAATAATTTTAATAGTTAGTTCAATGTATTATATAGAAGATAATAGAGTATTAAAAAGATTAGAGTATTAGGATTTTTGTATTAATAATTTTGTATTTAATAAGAATTTTTATAAAAAGGTATTGAACAGTTTCTTGGTTATTTAATATTATTATTAAATTTTATTTATCTTTTTTCTATTTTTTATGCTAGTTATGAATGTAGTAAAATGTATATATGTGTACTTGAATTTGACAGTATTGCGTAAAGAGAGCTTCAGGCTCACATTAATTGAGAATACGTTGCATACGTTGTCTCAAATTTGGAAATAACTGAAATTCTTAATTTACTATTATGCATTTTGAATATCTAAATAGAAAAAACTTGTTAAACTTCATATTATGGTGTGAATTGTTATCATTACGTAATTACCGGTGTCATTTAAATACGGTCGCGCCGACGAGACGTTATTTAACGGAAATATAAAACTACAAGGTGTAAAAAGAGCTTGTACGAATTGTAATTTCCGTTCTACCACTACGGAACATTCGCAGCAGTAATTTACATTGCTTTTAACGCGTGATACTTTCCAATTTCAATCGTTTATGAGTTGAACGTATGGAAAATGAAATTTAAATTGATGCAACTTCGATATTCGAAATATTTCAACATCTCCGCTGAAGTAATATCAGATTACAAACATCAAATATAAACTATCCAAATGTGTAATCCTTTAATTTTTAAACATTTTAAATATTAATAAACCTCTTTTAAACGTTTGTGTAAACGAGACACCAGAATTTAAACATCAAATTGTAAATATTCAAATTCTGTACCTCTATGACTTTTAAATACTTTAAAACGTTAATAAATTTCCTTCAAATTTTTACATGAAAATGTCAAATACATAAAATATTTGAGGTTGGACATTTTTTAATAGAAGTTATACAAATTTTGTAATTTTATAACGTATACCGATTGTATAGATTTCATAAGTTTTTAATAGATAATGTTTAAATTTTGTAATTTCTTAACAGATAGCTTAAATTTTGTAAGTTTTTAAAAAATAGTGTTTAAGGTTTGTAACTCTCCAATTAATAATATTTAAGTTTTACATTATGTTTTATTTCGTTGTCGATGACGTATTTAAAATAATAATCTTTAAAATACAGATCATGTCGCCGAAGAGGGCCAGGCTTTTAGTCGCTACTGTCTGGATCTTGAGTTTCGTTATCTGCTTCCCGCCTCTCGTCGGCTGGAAAGACAAACGGGTAACTAGAATCATCCCCGACAATTCATCCCTCGTTACAAGCTGTCTCTCTACTTTCTCACGCTCGTTTCGCAGTCTCATCCTACCTACAACGTGACGTTCGCACAAAATGGTCCTTTCAACACCACCACGATTCTGGTCCCGGTAAAACCGTGTCCTTGGATCTGCGAGTTGACCAACGATGCTGGTTACGTCGTCTACAGGTGAGTTTCATAAAAAAAAAGATGAGAGAAGTTGAAGGAAATTGTTCGCATAGAAATTCTAGAGCTTTATTATGGGATATAAGAAAGTGAACAACGTTTTATAGAATGTTTTAACATTCTTGAAAGAAAGGCTTCTTTAAAATTCAGAATTTTTCGAGTGTAAGATAAATACTCAGAACTTGTCAAAGTACAAAGTTCAAAGACTCAATTTTTCTAGTCAATACAGCTATGAAAATTTGTATTTTCTTTAATTCAAAGTATTTATTTTACATTTATTGGGATAGAAACCGTATAAATTAGCATCATTAGCATCATATTCATTTTCTAAACATCTAACCATCAAATTTTCCAGTGTTTAATAAAAGAACACTATTCTTCTACTACCTATTCTACAAAATTCAATAAAAAATAATCCCACAGCAATGTATCGATACTTTCAAAATCCCGCATTAATTCCATGAAACTCGTTGTTACTCCAACCAAATATTCCCAGAACAGTATTTCCCATCATTATGCAACCGAGTCTACTCTCAAACGCTGTATAATCTATTCTCAGCTTGATTCCAGTCCAAAACAATATGAAACTTTATAGTCCCCAAAATATAAACTCCATTATCTCGAAATATTCAAGTAGCTGCTCGATCGTTCCATTTACAAAATAAATGAAAAGCATTAGCTCATCGTAGAAAATACCGCAGACCGTCGCCGTATATTTTCATTTCATTCCTTTTCCACGAGGTGATATTTAAATTCCCCGCAGAACAAAGGCAACAATCCGTAGATCACGATGGAATCAATTTCAACGACACTTTCCCCGTACCTCGTCCTCGGACCTCTCTTCTTTTTTATTTATATATTCAAATGTGCACCCTTATCTATTCGTTGTTTGTCGTATAAACACCGAGAAATGTAATGCCGCGGGGGAAACGCAATATTTCCTGGGGCGGTGTAATAATTAAAACGGTTCGCGGACAATAAAAAAGGAGAAACATTTTGTTGCGAGGGACGCGTGCGCCTATTCTTTTCCGTCAAAGGATAGGACGCGGGTGGGACTGGCAAATAGCGAATGAAATTTTCATCGGTTCGCAGTAATTGAATTCCGCCGTAGCAATTCAGGGCGTCCAGAAGCTGAAACAGGAATTATTACGATGTCAAGTGCTGGATCTGAATTTCTGCCAACCGACCGACCGACCGCCCGCCGTCCGTCCCTTGTCGGTTCTATTCTTACCACGTTATCACGATCGGCGCATGCATCAATCCAGGCCGCTTTATGCGCGACGCATCACCTAAATCAACCACTGAGTAGACGTTTAATGCTCCATCGAGTGTTGGACAAATTTACGATCCGTTCCGACGTTGCATTATCTATTCCATTTTGTACAACGTTTCACCGAAAGGAGGCAATGAAAGTTAACCCTCTGGGCTACAATTTATTTCTTAAACCTTTTCATTACATAGGCGCCAATTGATTTGACACAGCAAGATAGTAAAGTTTGATATTTAATATTGAACTTTGTACAACGCATCGATATGTGAAATATTGAAAGAAAATAGTTTCGTTCCTCAATTTACGTGCAATTTCTCGTCAAGCCGGTTTGAAAGAATGTCTCGTTAAAAAATATTGAGTACTTCTAATGAAAAACTTCTTGGGTGCGAAGGGTTAGCCATAATACGACTGCAATACTTTGAATCATTTATTAGAAGGAAGGAAGATAAAGTTATTTTCTTCTAAATTATTTTTCCAAACACTTAAAGTTTGCAATGTCAATAATAGATAGAAAAATTATTTTTATATGGTTGGTTTACCAAAAACATTAGGCCAAGCATTCCTTGGAAATACATTTTAGAAGTGTCGAAATTCAACCAGTCATAAAGGGGACATTTACAATTACGTTCGTTCTTTGGTGCGCGTGTATTTTCCAAGTTCTTTTGTGGACAACGGAGAAAATTGAAATCGTTAACTAACCTCGGACCAAACCGGAAGATCAAACGAACGTTTCAACAGCCGCGTCCATTAAATGTAGTTTCCATGTTTCGGAATCATTCGGAGGAGAAAAAGATCAGGACCGTTCTCTCTTACTCGGGAAATGATGTTTGCACTGTACAGCTGCTTCCTTATTACTATCGCCTCTATGAGCATCATTAAATAATTTACCACAACCCCATTAAAATATATTCTGTCCACATTATAACAATATTAAAGCGAAATAATATTATAAACTGTAACAACAAAATTATATTTCTATTACCATTCCTATTACTAATTATTACACTCCTACGTATCCACATACTCGACACAATTCATCTTAAAAATAAATCTTCCTGGCAGATAAAATAAAAGGAATACTACTAAGCTCCATGAAATTCATGGTAATTGAAGAAGACAAAGAATACAATAAATTTTATTCCATAAAATTTGAATTTCATTAAAAGAAACATTTTTGTTCCTATATTATATAAGGAAATAATACAGAAATAATTGTATTATATAAAAGAAATCCCCCGAGCTCTGTTCTAACAGCGAACGGGCTAATTATTTCCTATTCTGGCACGAATGTGAGAAATGAAAGACTATCGTTATTTTTTTTTCTGTCACGTTCTAGTGCCCTGGGCTCCTTCTATATACCGATGCTGGTCATGTTGTTTTTCTACTGGAGAATATACAACGCGGCTGTATCCACGACGAAGGCCATTAATCAAGGCTTCCGCACGACAAAGGGCTCGAAAACTCTCGGCTCCAGGTAAAAGGGCGGGAGCAACGGCAACATTCGCCCATTGTTCTCGTCGAATTCGAGCTTTTCGATCAGCTGAACCGGAAGCGGCATCCGGCACGCGTCGCTTCACATTTCCCCTTAATGCGGTTGTTCTCGTGGACTGTTTTTATTCCACGTCAACGTTCCCGTGATTCCTTTTTTTCTTCTTCATATTTTATTTCCTCCGCCTTCGGACATTGTTGCTTGGATAGTATCCGGTTAGCGCTATCAATTGGTGCAGTTTTTTCTAAAACGCCGAAACATGGTTTCGGAAATACGTCGCATTCATAAGAATCGTGAAATATTGCTTTTGCGAAGCTAGTTTTGTGTTTTTTGTAATGTTGTACGGCGTCAGTGATTCCTTTTATTATTTCTCGAATTTCTTTACATTTTTTTAAAATGAAATATAAGGCGAAAGTACATCGTGTACTTTTATTGCAGATTGTGGTTTAAAAATATTAAATTCTTTTGTCGTAAGAAATTAAATAATAGATTATGTATATTGTATTTCTAATATTTATATATGTACCAAATTAATTAGCAAACAGTATTTGCGAATATTATTCCTTGTTTTTAATAATCATATTTCGAAATATATTCAACTTTTTTTCTTTCCATTTTTTCATTCGATTTTGCTTATAAAAATACCTACGTTCTTGTATTTAATTTAATACAGAACGTCACCTGTTTAATAAGTATATTATTTCATACGACGATTGAAATTAAAATATTCATTATTTCATTACTCGATAATTTTTCAATTAAAACATGCGTGTCTTTCAACTAACTCGGATGTGGTTAGACTTTATCGAATTTCAAGCGGAGCTGGATAAAATTCAAAGAACTCGCGGTATAAAGTATTTTTAAAAATATAAATTTTTCGTTTTAGTTAAAGTGAGTGTCCTGTTCACGTATGACGCTTTAACGTAACAGAATAACGAAGGATTATCTGTCTCGTCGGACTTTATACAAACAAGCCATAATACAGGATTATCTTATCATTAGCTAATATAAAACACTTTCACAGTGCGATAATAATAAATTCAAATGAAGAAATGATAAAAATGCAATTTTTTTAAAAGCATGCAATTCTCTGGTACAATGTTGTCGAGCGTGTATGTAAAAAAATTCTCTGTAAACATAGAGATAAGATAATCTATTTTTAGACAGCCCAATAGCTTTCTGCCAATAGTTCGTTATCCGTAACCAAACAATTTGTGGGACTTTGACAATATTAAATATTCAACTTATATTTATTAAGGTCTCTTTTTCATTCGTTAAATGGTATTTACTATCTACCATTAAATTTTTGAACTCCTCTTTTCTCACTCTGTGTAACCGCAACTTTAACCCTCAGCGTACGAAATAAAATTATTCGAAGATTCCAAAACATGTTTTCTCTATTATCGGTTTCTATATTTCTTTCTGGAATAAAATTTCCAAATACATAAATATTTTTAAAGCGTAGAATGTACAACTTTTAAAAGCGTGTCCATTAGCTTCAGCACAAAGTAACAAAATCAATATAACGGAAAGCTATGTAGACAACAAAGATATAAAAGATAACAAGCACCTGTGTAGACAATAAAGATGTAGCAAATAACAGAAAGCAGTGGAGGCAACAGAAATATAAAAGATAACGAAAATCAATATAGACATCAGAGATGTAACAAGTAACAAGACAATGTAAAGGGTGAAAATATAAAAAGTAACAAAAAACAATAGAAGAATAGAGATACAGCAAATAACAAAAAAGCAATAACAATAATAACAAAAAGCAATATAAATCAAGTAAAAGAAAAGAATTTTTTTTAAAACCTGTCCCATCTTCGTACGCTAAGGGTTAACCAAAATCCGAACCCCTAATCCTCCCTCCGAAATCGAAGTATTCGCCGAGGCCTGATCGCGCGCACAATGATTCGCCGGCCGCCGCCGCTTTTTCCCCCAGATTCGACGAACAAAGGATGACCTTGAGGATGCACCGGGGCCGGGGCAGCGTGCACAACGGGAGCAACAACGGTAGCCCGAGGAGCCCGGAGTCGAATAGCCGGAGCTCGGTGAAAAAGGAGAAGATAAAGATCTCGGTCTCCTATCCGAGCACCGAGACGCTGAATACAAAGTGTAACACTCTCGAGAGGACGCCCTCGAGATGCTCTCAGATCTCGGTGCATTACAGCAACGGGCAGACGCAGAGCCAGCTATGCCCGACGCCAAGGAGCACGCATCTCAAGGTAATTTTTCGCCGGGTGAAAGTGGCAATCCAACAATTGTTTCCTCCTCGATGTGCATTGTTGGACGATTGCTCATCTGCCTCGAGTCATCTTGTTTTTTTCGTATGCTGTGATGGCTGTTGTCTGCTTCGCCTACAAACAATGCGGACTACTCTTCACCCTTGACGCGTTCGTGGCCAGCGTTCGCTTCGGTAACGATCTTCGTAGTTACAATATTCTATTAACTCCAAGAAATTGTCTTTATACGATGAAAGTAGGATTTAAGGAAACATCTGATTAACTTCCTATGAGTTACACTGTGAGTTATTTTAGATAAAAACACGTCAATGGGATTTAGTTTCTTTTTTTCAAACTTCTTTATGTGACATATTTTTTATATTTCTTTCGGAAACCGAGTAGTATAATTGATGTATATATTAAAATAAGCAGCACACGTTACCGAAGTTTGATTTGTATTGAAAATAATATTACTGCACGACGTAATGACGCGGATGATCATTATTTAACACGTTAAAGCCGGAATTTTTTTTGTCTTTCGTACGTTGCGCAATTTAGCCTAAACCAGCGACGTGGAAAATATTAGGAATTCAATTGCAAAGGTCTTCTTACTTCTTATTCTTCATTAACATTATTACTTCGATTTTTATATACCGGAATATTTATATTAAAATTTCTTATACTGAAGCATTACTTATATTTCATATAATCGGTCATCGAAGACCACTCGACGTTTAATCGAAAGTTCCACTCAACCCTCAAGTGAAAAGTTCGCGTTAGCGTACAAAGTAATCTCAAAACAGGAAAGAAACGATTTAAAAGTTAAAAGTTCGATTCACAATTTCCATTCATAAAAGTTAACAGTTTCATTCGAGCCTTGACGAAGAACAACGAATTTATCGTCACGGTGGGCGCCTTGTTACGCGAGTTCAAGGATCATTTTCCCTGACGTTCCAACGCCATCCTCGGCGCCTGCATTTTGAAATCGTTCCAACGCGACCGGTATTCTTTCTTTTCGGACGCGCATAGCTTCAAGAGGTTTACGCGCGATTCCGCCGCGATGTTTATTCGACGGGTCTCTGGGAAACATCCGGATTTTCTTAATATCGTTCGCCGATATTTTTGGCCCTCGAGTAATTTCCACAGGAGCTCCCCGAAGTTGGGGAATGATCTTGGCGACCCTGACACGTTTGGGGAATACACGGCGCCGGAGAAACGGACCAATATTAACGAGGGAGAGAAATATTATCTTGAACAGAAATTTTGGAAATTTTTCGGAGCGAAGAAAGTCTGATTTTCGAAATATGTCAGTGGAACAGTAATTTCAATGGAAACATAAGATCTTACAAATTTGAAAATTGTACTAGAAGAATTTATTGCGTTAGAAATTCTAACAAATGAAAGAATTTGTATTTTGAATTATTTAGTATGTACAATGGTCGTATTAATGTTACCGATGAAATGAATTCAAGTAATTTTGTTGTATTCTGAAGTACACATTGAATTTTCAATTAAATTCGTATAATATTAGGGAATAAAATTGTTTTGTATATATTATTTTAAAATTCACCTACAAAAGCTCGCGAAATTATTTAATTATTAGTTTAATATTCAGTAATTAGAATGAATATTTTCGAGTGTATAAGTTTCATTATTATTTTCATTAACGTGGTTCTTGTTCCGCGAGCTATTTGTATGTTATCGAGGATAATGCCAAGAGAATGGTTCGAGAGCCATTGTTTAACATGGGATTCATTTAAATATAGAAAGTTACGCGCGATTCAACGAGCACGTGCAACGAAGTTCGAGCCCGGAAGGCGGCCGACTGCAGAATGTTAATTTCGAATCGATACTAGGCTTTCTCCCTCGTTGGCGATTTACCCGGAGAACATTGCTCGCCTTCTTTCGTGTGTAATTAAATTTTCTGAAATTTAAATCGCGCCCCGCGGAAAGAGATACTCGTCGACTCCTTGCGCCGGCGTTTATAGGGTTCCATAAATATGCATTAGAAGCCCTGAATACCCTGAAATCCATGCTGCAGGCTGCTCGAACGACCGGTTCGAACGACCTTTGTGATTTCCCTACGGCGCAGAAGACGTTACGTATTGTTACCTTGGCGTTAATAATTAATATCTTCCAATTTGAAGTTCGTGAAGATTGTTATCGAGTGAACTTCATTCACTCGTGCAAGAGGAAACCACCGAAAAATTTCGATATAAAACAATAGCAATTACTGTATTATATGTTATTATACATGATGTATTATATAACAATAGTAATTATTGTACTATATATTATTATATATTACATATTATATATGTTAGGTATTATTATTAATTCAGAATAATAGTAGACTTAAAAGGGTTAAGGGTTAGGGGTGGTTTCATATGTCTTTCAAATACAAGATATTAACGTCTTATTTCTTTCGTTTAGAAGATTTAAAAAATACATTAATTGATGTTAATGTGTTCGCGATTATATTAAGGAATAATTTTCAATTTGGTAAATAAGGTGAATCTGATATAAGTATAATTACCAAAGTTTAGTACCAAATTAAATAATTTTTCTTCACTCATTTCCTTGCATCGATCAAAATAAATGGGACATCTTGTACAAATTCGTAAATTTCATAAATGAAACAAGGAAAATACGATTGCTGAAATTAATTCGGAACAACAGGTGGGCGGGATCAACAGAGTAGGCAGCACCAGAAAGCCCAGTAGAAGAAGCAGTTGCGAGAGCCAAATGACAGGGGACGAAGTGTCACTGCGCGAGCTCGCCCCAGGCCCTGAAGAGAAGCCCAGGACGACAAGACTGGGCAAGAGGAACATAAAAGCTCAGGTACTGAATAATATTAACACCTTTCATAGTTAACAGTCTTTTAGAAACGTATAATCAACAATGAAAAATTATTTAATTATTTTTCAATGACATTTACAATAGCGAATCAACACATTCTCCTAAGTAATATAACATTGCAATTTATTGTAATTTTTTAAAGAAAATTAAGAACAAACATAAAAAGTTTCATTATTAGCAAGCTTCCAACAGATGAAGTATCATGAAATATTTTGCAAATTATTCAACTATAACATAAGAAAAACGTATCAATGACATTCCTTGGTCTGAATAATCCTCGGACAATCCTTATCTAACTATTCTCTACTACAATCGATTACGTATCCATTTCCACACTGTCCTCGTCAAGGTTTTATATTCTTATGAAAATACCATTTTAAAAGTAACAAACTGTAAAGAACAACCTTGAACGTTTTAGTCGCACACGTGAAGGTCGAAACACAATACACAAAAATTTGAATGAAATTTCAGCTCCCTAGGTATCTAAATAATCGCATTTGAAGGCAAACTCCCATAAAGAAATAACGAGGTGTATTGTGCGGATTCAGGTGAGAAGGTTTCGCATGGAGACCAAGGCTGCCAAGACGCTGGGCATCATTGTCGGCGGTTTCATTCTCTGCTGGCTACCATTCTTCACGATGTACCTGGTTCGCGCGTTCTGTCCGAATTGCATCCACCCAACCGTGTTCAGCGTGCTCTTCTGGTTAGGCTACTGCAACTCCGCGATAAATCCCTGTATCTACGCTCTCTTCAGCAAGGACTTCCGGTTCGCTTTCAAGAGGATCATCTGCAAATGCCTCTGCAAGCGGCAGGCTGACGGTACTAGACGCGGCAGCGACGGAAGTCAGCTAACCGTGAGGTACATACGTAACTCCAAAAGAATATTTTCATACAGGGTGAGTCATTCAACAGTGCCACCTGAACCTGTTCCCACTAGTAAGCCATTTATCATATAACAAACATGTTTCCAACGAAAGTTATTTGGTATCAATCATACCAACCGCATTTTTAACCCTAACTTCAGCTCTTGATGCCAAACATCTTTTGCCCCGAACATTTCTTTACCCAACAAATAAATCTTGGTGGCACGATTAAACGACTCACCCTGTATATTTATTAATATATTAGAAGAAATTCTATTCTTATTCTATTCTAAAAACTTTTCGTTGCTAACTGCTTAGTAGTCACTTTTTCAGGTCAAATATTTCTAAGTTACTTATGATTTATTGGTATCTAAAAATGATCGTATTCAATATTTTATTTCGAGAAATATTTTGAAGTTACGTAGAAGGTGTTCCGAATTGTTCAATTCCCAGCTAATAACTAAAAGCTATAATTAAATCACGATGATTGTGCATTCGTGAATTTATGTTAATTCCCTATTTCCTTCCAAAACAATACCTACATCTTTTTTTTCATCATGTATTCAAGCTGATCCCAAACCCTAGAATTCCTGTAGTTCTCAAAAGTGTACAGTGGAGAGATGACTTGTCTAGTGGAATAGCATAGGGCAAGAATTGTCTGTCTAGTTCACAGTTCTATATTTTTGATTGGTTACTTGCAACCGTATTGCAGTAAATTCGAGCTACACAATATCAAGAATTATGATGTAAAACTAACAAAAAACCTAAAAACTGATCAATCAGCCGAATTCCTCAGCCTAGGCATCAAGTGATCTCCCAGCAGTACATACAGATCCTTCATCGTAAAAGAAAATCAAACCCATCTCAACTAGCAATCTCAACAAACAAAGACTCTGCGACAGTTTGAAACTAACATATCCCCTGAATCCCAAGCAATATAGGAGAACCCTAAATTTTCTATCGTAGAAACGACCGAAGTCCCAGCTACTCGATCCGCATGCCCCAGCAAGGCGTGTCCATCGACGACTCGGACCTGGACCCGAGCTCGGAACCGACGGTGCACTCGCAGAGCGAGTCCAGATGACTGTAGCGTGCCAGGAGTGGCGCTCAACGCGTCACCTTCAACCCGAAGACCTCCAAGGTGAGGATACAATCCTTCTGAAGGATCCTCCAGGAGCCAAGTCCAGCGCTGTCGCCGCGGAATCGAGCACAGCGCAGTTCCGGCCAGCTGGAAAATCGCTGCAGCACTTTCTAGTAGACTTGGAACACGGACGAACGGTCGAGCTTCTTCGGTGTCTTACCTCGTTCCAGCAACCACAGAGACTTGGATCCTTGATCGAAACGAGGAATCACGTTCAAGCGACGACGAAGAACGAGAAAAAGCGAAAGGCAAGAGACGAGCAACTAATAAACTGGAATAGAATTTCAGTGACGGTGCAGTTTAGACAATTCATCCACGAAATACTCAAGAAAAACGCTTCATGTTCCGTGAACTCCGTCGCCTAAAGTTCTGACGGAACGATCAGTCGAAGTGCGGGGTCGTCGACGAGTTTCGGGGAGGTGGCCAGTCCCGTGGCCAACTTCGACGTGTCCCGAGCACAAGTCCAAATAAGTACGTGTCGATATCTATATGTACGCTGCTATGTTTAAACGCAAAACAAAACCGAACCGTTCCCGCGCGCGGATCGTTTCTTCGAGACTCTTTTGAAACGTTGCTTACCGAGCGGATGTGGACGGACCTCTGACCTCTCAGCGCCGGCCCGATCCCCATTGTTTACCCCCCATTGCTTCTGTAGATTTTTTACCGTTCCTCGTTGCCAGTCATTCGCGATAATACTGTTAAACGAACGCTTTCGATGTTACGGCGAGTGTTTTGGACAGGGGAGCTGACACGGTTGTGTTACTAGTGGTTACGAGCTTATCGATGGTGTCGTTGGAGAAGAAACATTTCGTTTGGTTTTTTATTCGGTTTTCAGACAAGTTCAATGAAGCTGTGTTTTAACACGTTGATGGTAGCATGTACCATCGATGGTACGTAGCTAGTTTACAATATTAAACTGAAGTGACGTTAATAATTCAACTATTTATTGGATTATTTCGATATTCAATTATTTATTGGATTTATCCACAATTAGCAATTGAAGTCACGAAACTAAACTAGTAACAAAAGAATGCACAACAATATCATTTTCGTAAGCATTGCTTGTTATTACGATCTGTGATGAAACATATAAATACATAGTTCGATGTGAATGTGTTAAACATTGTTTTCGTAAACTATGCTGGTTTTCTAGTAATTTATTTTATGGAAATATTTAAATAATGAATTGTCACGAAAGATGTTGCTGGTTTATCTCGTTTAATATGTTACAGCTTTAAGTGATGTTACGTGGAAGTTTTGCCTGATTTTATTTATTTTAAGAGATACTCCTGATTGGCTGAAGGTGGATTGTTAACACTTAAAAGACTGCTTGCGAAATATTGATACGAGATTTTGTATTTATTTCATAAGTATTTATTAAGTAATTTTTAAATATTAGAGAAGACCTTCGAGGTTAGAATTTTAAGTATTGGATAATGTTCTAAATTCTCTATGATCATTCAGTTTCCAACTTGAAATTAATAAAGTGAATGTAAGAAAGTAATCAGAAACAAAACATAAGTGTTAATAATTGCAATAATCATACATTTTTGGTTTATAATTGAATTTTTTCTTACATTTGATCACCAATAATTATTTATTTAAGGAATTATACATTTTGGTAAATTATATTGGCCAAAAAACAGTATCGACAATATCAATAATTGAAATTATTAATGATTGAAAAATACTATTAATGAGTGATGAGAATGTTGGTACCGGCACCTACACTACAGCGTAACTTGAAATAATTAATCGAGAAAGGGTTAACGTCGTTCGACTGTTCTGAAACGCCCTGTAACGCGACGAGACGCGCGTAACAAGGAAAAAAGCTCGTGAGTAAGTGTTGTTATATCTATGTGATTAAAAAAAACGAAGAAACTCGTTGGGATTTTTGTACGGTCGCGTTCAGACTTTTTCCTAGAGGCAGAGGAACGTCCGGAAACCGAGAGCTATCGAATTCAGCGCCCGGTCCATTGTATTATGTGATATATCGTCTGCATACGTAACGAACGAATGGAAAATAAATATGCGAATAAAATCCATGATCGTTGACATCCGGCGCGTGGCTTGTTCTATCCTCAGTCCAGGTTTTTCAGGGTTCCAGAACGTAGCGGCGGCCATTTTGTCAGTCTCAGGTATGTATTGATATAACGTAACAAATATAATAAAGTAAAAAAAGGAAATGATGTAAAATAAGAAATAAATATTAATATACTGGAGATTGTGTTTAATACAATGGTGTAAGGATTGTAATTAAATTTATTAATGTTTTTAAATGATTTACAACGTTTGAAGATATTTAAGAAGTGAATAAATTTTTGTATAATTATTTCTTCTGTTAATTAGTTTAAAAAAGTACAAGTTTGTATGAAGAGGTGCACAGAAATTATTGTGATAAAAAATAGGACGAAAATTATTTTCCTGAGAAAGTAAGGTACAAATAATCGTTAAAAGGAATAGTGTGTTGTTCCGTCTCAGTTCTTTCCTTGTTGTATCATTTCAGAAGCACTTTACTGTAATTCGTTCATCTAAAATTTATGCGGACAATTGCATCCAGAAGCCATTTTCAACTGTTCCCTATAGTAACTCGAAGGAACGAGTTTAATTAAATTTCGGAATACGAAACTCAATTACAACGAGGTAGAAATAAACGTACACACTACAACGATAATTCAGCGAAATCTCGAAACTTCAGGAATTTCACCTACAATTACAACGAAAAGTTTTTTCGTGCTTGAAATACAATACATATCATCGTACTTGGCTAACAAGATATAATCTAGATGCTCTAGTCTCTTAATTTACTTAATACATTACTTTAACTACTACTTTCATTTGTTTGATTAATATTTTGACATTTATACCATTTTCTTACATTACCAAATTTATTGTTTTCATTTTTGCTTTGATTCAATTTTATTTTCTGTTTTAGAAACTATTTCCCTGAGTATTTCTCTTATGTTCCAATTACATTGTTTCCCGTTTTATTCGAGTAATGCCCCAAAATCTCGAATGGCCGTTAATTTTTTAGAATAATACACAACAAACAGACACTATTACATTAACTACCTTTAAATAATTAATTTCATTTTCCTCCAATTTAGACACGTGATAACTCAACCAAAAAGAGTCTTGTTGCATTCATTATTCAAAATGAATACATTCGTTAATCAAAGTCTATATAACAAATTCATCCATTTTACTAATTACAGTTTACTAGTTTTCCTTTCGTTGTTAATATTTTTCAATTATTTCCATTGCCATCTACGCGATCAAGTTTCTAGATGCAGTATCCTGAAGTGTCATGCTCCTTGTGCAATTCGATTTGTATCTCCTCGATGCTTCTTCCCTCCGTTTCCGGTACCAATATGGCGACAAATGCGGTACCGATTAGGCTAACCATTCCGTAAGCAGCGAACGTGGAAGAGATACCCATGGAAGATAGCATATCCTGGAAAAGTTTCATTGCCACGAACGCTGATAACCACTCGCATACGATACTCGCGGAGATCGCCGTCGTTTTCACATCTTCAGGGAAAATCTTTTCGATCAGTATCCAAGGTATCGGTCCACATCCAACGCCAAATGCGGCCACATAGATTATGAAAGATAAAAATGGCAGCCAAGTAAAATTTGAAACATCCTCTGTTTTCTAAAGCAAAGAGAATACACAAGTGTTAGTTTATTTTGTAACATTTCCAATTAATTAATTATTACCAAGCAAATATTTAAAATTTAAGATATATTCCTACATTCATTTATGGAACGTTAAAAATATTTAAATAACATTTTACATTCATGATTGAATGGTATAATTTGAAAAAAATTAATCAGAGTTAAACAATAAAACATGATTTTCTCAATGCTAGTTAATGCTCCTATGTTATAATAATATTTAAATAAAACATAAATATACATAATCGTCTGAATAAATTGGAACTATCAGTAACTTATAAATTGTCAATTACTTTGTCAACAGTTCAAAGATAATTACTTTGTTCTATTGCCTAACAAACTCTTGATCTTTCCAGTGACCCACAAAATTTAAATATTTTATCACTATTGCATGTTGTATGATAAATTCTACAAATAACACAGAATCATTAAGAAGCAATTAATCATTGAATTCAAATATTTCTCTTAATGTTTTATGTGAATCACATTTAAACCGTATAAAATCAAAGACATCCTTCTGTATTTCTTTCATCATTGCGAAATGATGCAGAAAAGGAGCATTTACCTGTAGCCGGAAGTAACCAGACAAAACGAACATGCTAACCGACATGATGGATAAACTAAGGAAAAGTAGAAGTTTCCTCTTCGTACGATCGATCAGACTTTCCGAAGACAGCGTGGCGATCACGTACGTCAATCCGACGATTATCGAACAACTTGTCGGGCTTAACGGAAACCTTATATACCGGAATATCGTCGTCGCGTAGGATATGAGGGTGTTCATTCCTGACAGCTGTTGAAACATCATCATGCCTGAAAAGGGCTGAATAGTAGGAATTCGCATGGTACCAAATCAGAACTAAAGACACATGTCACCAGAGAAATATTAACCCTTTGCACTCGAGATGTAACTCTCAGTCACCATTTGATTCGATATAACAAAACTATAAAATCTTATATGTAATGTTAAGCTTTATATAACATATCGAACGTGAAATATTGAAATACAATAGCTTTTATCTTTAATTCATGTATGTTTTCTCATTAGTTCGTTTAAGAAAATGTTATGTATATAGCATTGAAAAATGTTGAGTATTTCTAGTGGAAAACTTTCGAGTACAAAGGGTTAAATTACTCTTCGAGTTACAGTGTAACCATAATTTTAATATCACAATTACGAAAAGTAAAATTCTGAATTCTTCGTAATTTATGAAAATTTAAATTTTCAAAATACTATTATACCAAACATGTAAATTTGAATGTTACGAATTATAAATTTAAAGTTGATATTTACAAGGTGGAGTTTGAATCTGAATATTTATTTTGAATTTAAATTTAAATTCGGATAATGAAAAGTAAAATTCTGATTCACATACTTTGGATGGAAGCTACAATTTAAAATGTAGGCGAATTGTAATTTAGATTACAATATTAATTGGAATTTGAATATAATTTTGAGTTTAAATTTAAATGTTACGAGATAAAATTTATTTCTTTTTGATTTGTAAAATGTATTTTCTGACAGGAAGAATGTTGTAGTTTTTTGTGAATGTTTGTGATAGTAAAATGATTTACCAAGTGCAATGATTGTGGCCTTTCGATGTTTCCACAGTTCAGAAATCGGTACGCTTTCTCTGGAAATTTCTTGTTCCGACAGACGTCTTCCTCCGTAGTGTGTTAAAATCTCTTGAGCTGCCGTTTGACGGTTCTGTCTGATCAACCAGACAGGTGATTCCGGTATCGATTGAGTTGCGATCGAAAGAAACCCCGGAGCCAGAGCGCAAAGAAGCACAATTGTGGTCAAACTGTTGGTGAACTCTACAGAATTAGAATTTCTTGAAATATCAAGTTACACTGAAATTAAATTATTATAATTAATTATTGAAATTGAGAAATCAGTAGAGAAGATCTGTGTAATCTGTTTATGCTGCAATATTACTTTATTACATTATTAATATATATTAAAAATTAAACATATTATTCATCCATTATTAAAATAATTAAATATTAAATATATCATTTAATTAAATATAAAAATTACAATAATTTTGTTCCAATAATTCCTAATTTCTTAATATTCAATTTCTCTGTTACTTTCACAAAACCGCCGCTCACCCACAGAATAAGTGAACAAAACCCCAAGTGCAGTTGCAAGCTGCAACATCGTCCTCAAAGATATTTTAACGCAATCCACCATTATTTCAGACAGGTACAGTGGAATCAAAATGGACGACACACCGCACGACAAACCAGCTACGAAACGAGCTAGAAATAACCTTTGAAACAATCATTACATTATAAATTAGTTTTCGAAACATTATTATATAGCGAACGGTTTAATTACCATATAGTTTTACAATGAACTTTACCCTTTTAGGTGAAATTTCTTAGCACAAAGTTTTCTTAAGAAACTTCTTAACGAGATCTACCTATATACACTTATCTTCGAAATATTCTAATAAAAGTCTAATTTGCCATAAGTTAAAGGGTTTTAAAATTTTTTCATCCTCGGCGCTGGAGGTATTTATAGTAAAATTGATACCGAGGTATTCGTAGATTATCTATTTTATTATGCAATAACGTTGAGGGAAGAATCTCTGGTATTAACATAAAACAAATTTCTGAAGAACAGAGCAATGCGCGCCATTAATATTTACACAGGGTAATAAAGATATGCTACCCACCATAGTTTGCCCCGTGCAAACCCGATAACGAACCAACACGACGATAACAGTAGGCTGCTTATCAGAATGCTTCTCTTCCGACTAATCCTGCCAGCAATTGTTCCTGCTGGCAAGCTACCAATTATGGCGCCCAAGGCCACTGACGCACGGACCCAGGATGTACCCTGGTTGTTCGTGGGGTAGCCATTTTGATCGAAAATCGGCGAAGCAATCGCTGGCCACGCGAGGTATGTGCCAGTGGAAAAATTAGCGAGACCGACTACGGTTTCCTCGTAAACAAAATACAATGAACAATTTGAGCACTTATAAATTACAATTGGCTTCAAACTTTTATTAAATAATACAGTGGCACTTCAACTTACAAACTTCATTCGTTCCGGTCCGAACTTCTGGTAAGTTCTTGAAAAGTTTGTATCTCGAAACCCAGTTTTCTATTACATTATAACTTGAGATTCTAGCATCACGGTTTGTTCCTCGAAATTAAATTTGCATGGAAAGGTCGAAATGGAGCACGAAAAAAGTTCGTAAGTCAAGGTACCACTGTATTATAATTTTAATGGACTAATTTATGCTCTTTACGACAAATAGACAGTGAAAGTTATACAATTTCGAAATTTGTAAATCCAGATATAACTTCAGAAATCTGATAAAAAAAAGTGTCCCCAGTCAATAATCATATTTTATTAAAAATATAATACAAATTGTGATCAAGATTATTATAATCTCTATTTTACTATATATCACTATTAGTATCTGCCATCGATACATAAAAACCACTGTCTACTTATAAGCCAATAACATTTGATATTTAACTTTCTGTCATCCAAATCAGTGATCAAACGACACAAAACTTAATGACAACAATCTCACGACCCATTATTCTATGAAAATAATCCAGCTTCACGAAACAACATTCTTCAGCAATGTTTGACAACAATAATTCACATGGAGTAATTTAAAAGAAAATTGAAGAGGATGTTCGATTAATTGACGATTTCATTTTTCGAGCTTAGATGTACGAGATCGATCGTTATTCCTGGATCTTTTCTCACCCAGCATCACCAGCGTGCACTGCGAACGCTTGGCGATCCATGGACCACGTGCTCGTTCGTCGTTCGCGAGCGATACCGCCATTTTAACGGCCGCGACAGATCACACTGCTGTAAGCCGCGCGACGAGACTCGCGACCGCTCGCGGCGATTGATAAATTCGATCGACAGAAATCCTTCACCTCCGCCGCGCAACCTTTTTATCGTGCTGGTCTTATCTGGCAGACGCTACCTAACTCGTTGACCTGTGTCCATCTCCGCAATTTCACAGACAACAAAGACACCGATTACGCAAAAATATTCGATAGGTATATGTAATACTTGAGATAAAGAATATTACCAACAAATGTTAAATTTATATAAATATAAATATTTCTCGTTTAATTAGATGTAGGTTTTTAGAAATTAATTTGTAACTATAAGACATATATATTGACCTGACCTGATTTAAGACGCTAAATACATAAATCGTTGACTTGTGCCCATCGCCGCAATTTTACAAACAAAGGCATCGATTACGCAAAAATATTCAATAGGTATCTGTAATACTTGAGATAAAGAATATTACCAACAAATGTTAAATTTATATAAATATAAATATTTCTCGTTTGCGTAGATGTAGGTTTTTAGAAATTAATTTATAAATATAAAAATAGGTTTTTCATTGAAAGTTGCTAACGAAGTTTCTACAAAATAAAATCTTTCACCATAAATTTCTTATTATATTGAATTTGAAAAAATTAAGTTTACTATAGATACACGCAGTCTATATTTTAATTATAAATAAAGTAATTTTCAATTATTAATAAAAGCACAAGCTTACGGGCGATATTTTGCACCGAATTTATTTCTGTGGAAACTTACTTCCTATTTAGTGTTTAATTTCGGAAGTTTGAACTTATATAAATCATCCATAGTTCTTTTACCAATCCTATTTTTCATAACACACAATAAAGATACAACGTTGTGTTCAAAATTGACCTTGACAATGGCGTCGAATTCGCAATCAGTATCATTATCATTCCAAACGCATACTTCCTCAATTCGTCAGTGTCCTTTCGTAACTATTTTTAGATTATCGCGGGAAACTTTTCACTTCGAGTGAAAAGTTCCGGTTGAGAATACACCGAAGATAGAAACGAGAGTGATAACTAGCTTCGAACTTCTCGTAAACGTAACGTAGACCGTCGTTACACGCCAGTAAAGTTTATTTATAGTCCTGGCCGACGAACCTTCCTTATTCACTTTCCTTTTGTCCGTTCCTGCAGAAATTTCAGCTGCTCTTTTACTGGAAGGAAATAAACATCGTACTTCTGGCTCGTCTCCATATACTTTCGGTAACGTGTGTAACGTGTACCAACAGTTGATATATGCAGATTGATATTTAATACTGCATCAGTGTCGGTATATTTGTTGCGCAACGCTTCTGTAAGTTGATACATTGTTTGGAACTCACAGAGAATGTGGATACAGGCCGTATTACAGGAAACAGCAACGCGTGCACGCGGTATTGGATCGAATATCCCAGAGGGAAAAATTTTAGAAAAATCGAAATTTTATTTTCTTGCTGGGTAATAAATTTTCTTGCAAAGCTGTGCGTTTCGAGTAAAGGAAAATGAATAAACATATATTACACATGTTATTATACAATTCTTCTTTTAGTTCGTTCTAATTAGCAAGTTTTTTGTATGATATAAATAAATTAAAATCAAACTGAATCATGCCTCATCGAATATGTATTTTCAGAAGTGTAGTTAAATTGTTTTTTAGGATCTTTTATAGTGAATATATTAAAAACTTGTTGTGCTATTATTACATTACATCGAAAGTATACTAAATCAAATTGAAAATACAAGTCTCCAAGCTTGTGTTAAAAACGACATCTAGAACATATTGTAAAAAATGTATATAGCTCCAAATGGTAAATATTGACTTGGAAATAAATAAATAGAATAAAAATATCAATTGGCAGTCATTTGGCAGAAACGTGATATTTGCAAAGTCTCGCGTATCAACCAAGAAGGAATGAAACAAATGAAAATGTCATTAAATATGAAAGTTTCAATATTTACAAAATGAAAAACAGTTAAGTCATTCTAAAAATATTATATATCCTAAAAATCCTAAAAATAATAAATAATTAAGAATTCCTATGAAAAATCATAGTTTTAATATTCATAAATTCGGAGGAAATTTCGATGCATTAGTGTAAATTTCGTTTTATACGTTTACATAATAAAAAAAGAATTATGGTAAAGTGGTTTTCGTACGAGCGACGTGAAGGTTGTTTTGGCAATCGCCGGTGTAAGAAGAAAGAAGCAAAAGAAAACGAATGGCCATGCTCTGTGGGTCAGGGTATCGACCATACACTGAATCAGCAGGTCTTTCACCTTTTGTTCACATCATTGGCGAATTCCTCGACAACGTAAACGTAGGTCATGGTTCTCATTCACAAGGAACGAGAAACTTTCGATAGGCACGACCGGCGGAACAGCGTCTACGAGTTGAATGAACTCAACCCTGCTCGTCTCTTCGAATCTGTATGTCGTGAAATGAATTTGAAATTTCACAATGATATTTTATACTTTTCTTTAAACAATGAGCCTTCATTTATTAAAAACATTTCTATTTTCTGCTTCTGTCAATCATTTTAATTATTTTAATTAAAAGATATAATTCCGATATTCGATAACGGTTATTTTACAAATAAGAATTCTTATTTTCGATATTTTGTGAATATTTTGCATAAAAAGAAATATTTCACTCTTGTTGATTAATCAATAATTCTACAGAATTTTGTTGGAGTTATATTTTCAAGAAATACATTCGTTTTTTACTATCAATTCCTTTGCATTCCTTTCCCTATTGCACATCGTTACTTTAATTAATACTTCACATCTTCCACATATGAAACATTAAGAAATTTCTTATTTCCAAATATCATCCTTTAAACGATAGAAATAAAATTATTAAACATTTTTCAATCAAAACTTCTCAAAAATTCTTTTAATCAATGCCTATCAAACATGTCGAAATCATAAGTCAACCTCCAAATCTACGAATAATAGTCAATTAATAAATAGTAGTCAATGAAGTAACATATACAGAATTACTAAATTAAGTGTGTAACGATGGATCATACGCTTTTCCAATTCAATTTTACCGTTTCAATACCGAGAACAACAAAACAAAAGGCAAACGATTGTTCGGGATCGATACACGCGGATGTTTTTTGATTAATTAATCGTTATTGTTTATTGGCACTCCAGCTGATTCCGGATCGAAGGGAATTATTCATTTAATTCATTCTGTCGGCGGTATGCGGGCAAACAAGTCGGGTCTCGTTCCATTAAATTTTCAAATTCAACCTCAAAGCCGCGATTCTATTCAGAACGGTCCGCGCTGCGTGGAATGCGGAATCACATCGATGACGCCCTGTAAACCGGTTGTTGAGTAAATTACCGAATTCATCGTCAAAGGACGATCGCTTTTGTAAAATACTGTGAATTCACAGGAATCCGGTGAACGTCCCGTGGTCAGGGCACCGGAGCCGAAAGTGCTTTAACTAATTCGCGACATTCTCGATCCTATAGCCGTGCTGCAATTCGTATAATCATGTTTATTAATTCATCATTATTCGAGCACCGTACGTCGGAATTTGTATTCTCCGTCAATAATATCTTATTCAGTAATGTATCGTTTACAAGAAATATTCTCACCATCTGAGGATTTTCAATCCATAGGGTGTACCTAAATACAATAATTCCTTTACCTAAGCACACGATTGAATATTATTTTTATGAAAAACTATGTTTGTTTAATTCCTTTTGATTATATTGCATTCCGACTGTAAAAACCTTTTTAGAAGTGACACTCTAATTTAAAAAATTTTAAATTGTATTTCTCTACATTTAACTCGATAAATTGCTCTTCAAGCTCAATTAAATAATATTCATAACAAATAATTATTATTCACAAAAATAATAATGATCAAACCTCAAATTTAAAAAAATGAAACATTACTCATGAGTTTTACCATATATAAATTAATAACAAAAAATTCTATTAATATAATATTAATAATTACAATTTAAAATATCTACGTTCCATTCTATCTTTCATCGTCTACAAAAACGCAGAATGGCACGATGACCCTCTAATTACCATCAAAACGATACACGCGTAGACTCCAAGTGTAGAGGACAGAGCGGTCTCAATCGGGAAACATTGTGCATCGGGAGCGCAGCACAATCGAATTGAAAGCAGGAAACAAGGGTGAATAAAGAACTCGTTTCGTAGGTGGAATAATTTATTGTGAATCGACTTACCGCGACATGATTAAAAGGGAGAGGCGAATGCGAATTAAGTTCGTTCTCTGTTCGCCGGGGCGCGCGCCGCCGCCGGCCGCGCGGAACGAACTCGAAAAGCATTCAGAAAGTTTGATTACCCCGCACCAACCGAGCATCCTGTGGCGAGAAAGGTGTTCGGGAGAATTTGCGATCGACCGCGCGTGCAACGAAGATTGACCCGGGCCCCCTTGATCGCGTACGTTCGTTTGAAAAGTCGCAAAGAGAGGAGTTCGATCGGGGGAACTTCCGCCAGAATTACGTTCCGAACCGAACCGAAGCTGTTTTCTTTAAAAGGCAATCTCCTGGCTTTCCCCCGGTTCCCTCGGGATGTGTTTTTGCGAGGAAAAATTAATCTTATTCGGAAATTATCTTTGAAGAGGCTCTGGTATCAAATGGCCATCCCTTCAACGTGGAATCTTTGAATCAGTTTTCGTTGGAAATAGAATGTCTGGTTATTCATAATTATTTCTTCTTAACATTGTTTTGGTCCTTAGGGAATATTTGCATTATGTTTCCATGAAAATATAGTAGTAGCTTTTTAAGTCTCGATTGATATTTGAACCTGTGGTTTCTGAGTATGCGAGGTTATGGTATTGCTAAGAAATCTTTGATCACTTGTAATATACTGTTTATGAAATAAAAGAAGATAAAAGAAGAAATTTATTATAATCTTACGTGTACCAATTCTAAAATAAGAATTAAAAATAAATAATAGACTTAATACATATATATATAAAATACCGAGCATCGAACAAGTAATCAATTTATCAAAGGAACCAACCAATTCCCCAAAAACGTCTCTACAAAGAAACCTTCGAAGACTTTCCTCAAGATGAAATTCCCTAAAAAGAAAGCACAATCCCAGCAATCTCCTAAACCAATCCATTTTCCAACGGACAACTTTCATCAAAGCGCGAATTACCAATTCCTCCGACAAAACCCACGTGGAACGAGTCTTCCGCTAACAGAACAGAAGCCGGATAATTAATACGTCCCGAACAAAAACGGTCTTCACCGAGGAGAGCGTGGAAGCGCTGGAAAAAAAAACGGTCCCCGATCCCTGAGCGACTGATCCTCCAAGGCACAAAGGAACTTCCGTTACTTGGCTTCCGGCAGATTGGTCGCAACTACCCTGAACCCGTTGTGGTCGGCCACGTAATGGACTTGTTGTAGGACGCCGTTGGGATCGATGTAACTGTAAGCACCCCTCGTCGTGCCGTCCAGGGACCTTGATTCGGTTTTCGCGCTGGAATCGCCGGCGTAAGTATAATCGTATTGGCCCAGCGAGTCCTGGGTATGATGGAGAGCGCTGTGCAGCAGTCGGTAAGGCAGAACCGGAAGCACGAAGGACGCTGGCAACGGCGCAGGCTTTTGGATCCCGTTCAGGGACACCAATTTCCCTATTTGCAAGGAATTCCCGTGCAGCTCTTCGGGTTTCCTTTGGTTACCGGGAACCAACGGCGGAGACAGTGTCGAGAGTTTCGCGAGACTCGGGTCCGGTTTCGGCACTTCAATTTTGTCTGCCTCGGAACGTGAGAGGAGGAACGGGCTCTTCGTGGTTTGCTAGAAAACAATGTAACTTGGGGTTTTGTTCGAATATATTGCTGAGTATTATGGTGAAATTTAAACATTAGAAATTATTAGCTTATTTTGTAGGGAAATAAGAGATGGTATTCTTGGTCTTCTGGTTTTTGAAGTTTTCGTTTGGGTACTAATTTCAAATTTGATTGAGAAAGTTATTTGAAATAGGTTTTTAACTTGAATATAACTTATTTGGAACTCGACGAGATATGCTTTGATGTATTGGAAAATTGGTAAATGATATTGAATTATAGTTGTAGTTAATAGTTGAATAATGATTATTATAGTTAATAATCTGTTCGATAATAATTACTACATCTAATCATTGAAAATGTGCAACAAAAGGATATTGTAACATTTTGGATCGAATTAATGAAGTAACTATTGTGCTCTCTTTATAAGTAAAGTACAAATATAATACAATAATTGCTTACTGCGATTTCTCGAACAGCCAGATTTTTCTCGTCGCCTTTACCCAAATGAGAGAAACTGAAATATGGTGGTAAAATGTTGTAAGACAGAATGTTCGATTGATAGTTGTTGGACTGTTCCCTCAACTGCGACTTCTGCAATTCTTCCAAGTGATTCTTTTTCGCTGCCGCCACTTCCGGTGTGTCCTGAATCGCTTGAAGATCATTTTTCGGTGGTTGCGGAAGATTGCTCGCGCTCACTCTGAACCCATTCTGGTCATCCGCCGTGTAAGTCACTGTTTGCAGTATTCCATTCGCGTCGATGTACGAGTAACCTGATATAATCAGAAGAAAATATTTCTCTATCCAATTGCTATTATTTAGATGAAAAGAATTTTTATTTCTTTAAAATAACAGATTTCAATCAATTTTTGTATAAACAGTAGATTGTTTAAAATTCCCCCTTTACTTTCAAGCAAATTAGTAAAATACTTTGAAATTCAATTTTGAACTTTTCAAAAATTGATTATGAACGTTTGTCACATTCTATTGAGGAAGATAAAGAAATAAAAATTCGAATAAATGTAATGAAAAGAAACAAGAAAGAAACATTATTATTCCAGCAGTTCACTTTTTATGTCTTTACGTCGAGTGTTTCATTTCGTCTGAGTCACCCTGTATGCATACGATTAACGGGATTGGTTGCGTTAAAAGCGCGCGTCAAGCGACGAGCTACACAACGTTCAGAAGAATAGGAGATGAACCCTTTGCTTGGGCGTTTGTTGCGTCACATCGATCATCGTTACAAAAGTAATCACTCGCGAACGTAGGCCGCGGTGTCTGCCGCTGATGTTCAGGAAAGGAATGTATGCCATTGACGCTTTTACGAGTCATCGAGCAGAAATGCTGCTTACGAACGTACCTGTCAATGGTTAATGAAGACGAACCTTATTCACCCACGTGAGAACTAGAATTCAAATCACGACTGAACTCCTAAGGAATATTTTATGAATAAAGAAAATATTAGAAGATATAATTATGGGAAGCAGATATTTCTATTATTTTATTTAATTATTAACCAAAACCTTTTCTCATATTGATCGTAAAAGTTTAAAAATAAAATACATTTAGTTAAAGAATCTATTCGTTAAACAATTTTCCACATTTCAATGTATTATTTATTAGAAATATCTATTCCTGTGTCATAATTGATAGAAACTAACAACTTTTAGTCTACCTAAATAATACTTTCAATTAAGTAGAATGCATCGACATTTAATCAGACAACAATACATTTTATTATATTTATTAAACTGTGTTACTACAAAAGGAGATTGAAAGTACAATAGAATTACGCACTAACCTTTAGATTAAAAGGTTAATATCGTTTTCGTAAAAATAAATGTGAACAAAACTTCTGTAGCTATGAAAAGTAATTGCGTCAGAAATTTTGAACTTCGTCTTTAGAACTTTTAGTAGCTTACTTTTAGAAGGACATGTGGTGAAAATAAAATGTTTAAAATTCAGTTTCTCATTATCAAATAAATAGAATTAGAGTGGGAAATAATTACGAGTACTTACCACCTCGTGTGATCCCATTCAAACTGGATTCTGATTTAGCTTGATGAGGCCCAGTGAACGAGTAATGGTATCCTCCGGATCCATCTTGTATGTGAAACTGGCGTAATGGTGTTAGAGGTCCCAAAGGGCTCAGCCAAACATTCGCGATCGGTGCAGCGAAACTTCGCCCGAGGAAGATACCAAACAGAATTCTCTGGAACGAAAATACATCTTCGATTCCATCTAGTACTTCCTCGAGTTCTATCAATATTCTCTGAAGCACAGTATTCTTGAATACTCAATTCACTGAGCTTAATTTAAACTTCTTTATATCTTTCGATCATAAATCCTTTTCAATATTTATATTATCAAATGATACAAAATATTCTTGCTAATTTCCCATAGGCAATATTTTAATATTTTTAATCAAATGATTCTGAAAAATTATTTTTCACTTCCAAAGACTTATTTAGTACTTAATTTCTTTGACAATTATATCATTTTAAAAATTGAAGAGAGTACATCTTGGCATTATTTTCTTGTAAACATAGAAAAATGTTCAATGAACTAATACATAGAAAAGTCTGTAAAAGTTTGAAAGCTAAGTTAAAAGTGTTAATTACTGAAAAGTAAGTAAAACATAGAAAATAAATAAATTTGATACGTGTACGTTTTTTCAGTAAAAATATTCTATTTAAAAAGGATGAAAATTATGCATGCAAAAATTTGTTAATTATTAATAAACTATTGCATTTGATCATGGTGGACTTGCCACGATAATGACCTTTGAACAATTTTAACGTGACCTATTCGCCAGGAATCGGATTCTATCGAGGCAAACGAAATGTCCTATGAATGTTCTATATACCGTCAGAACTTCCGGTTGGACTGGCGTTACCTTCGATATTTAACTTACGCACGAAGATTTGCCTCGATACTTCATCGTTGTAGAAATGTTTGAGCGCCCGAGGGGCAATTTGAAAGCGGCGCCAGAAACTCGACACGCGATTCCCGCCGGAAATTGCCGGAATAGATTCCGACAGGTCGGGAATCCTTTGCTATTAAGGAAGAAACTGTGACCCATTCACTTGCCTCGCCGCAAAATAGAACTTTCGTTGATTCAGTTATCGCTAGTTAGCAACGATATCGTTCGTTTCCAAATTGAATGGTACCTAGAGCATTTTCAGATGCTACATTTCGTGTATACGTATACTGTCAACATTCTAACGATTTATTAAATAAAGAGAATATCGTTCAATTATTAAATAAATAATTATTTTTATCGTATGACAGGTAATTATCTAAAAATATAGGTTTGTAATAAATTAATTTTTCGTGAAAAAATTGATATTTGATATTAATAATCGCGATGAAAAATTGAACAGAAGAAATTTGACCAACGTAGAAATAGTTTAACGAGAATGAAGATGAAATTTTTAACCGACTTTTATGGATATTTGTCAAGTTCTGAATAATATAAGAAATTCTTAAATGCCATTTGTCGAGTTAAAATAAGTGTTTTAAACCTGCGAAAAACTGTATTTATTCACTTAGATAGTTAATATGTAATATTAAAAATATTAAATACAGTATACAAACGCAAAACAAATTTGCATTCGTTAAAAGTCCATCATGTTATACAGGACTAAAATTATTAAGATGATCCGTGACCTATTGTGCACCGTGGCCGGAAAATCGAGTTTTCGTTGATTCAATTATCGATAGTTAGGAACGATACCGACTTGTTAGAAAGTTAAATGATGTTCGAGCATTTCGCGGAAACGTTTACCGGCATTAATAAGGCGTCTCGCGAGAAACTTCGACGAACTACCCAAGCACCGAGAAGTTGCGGGCTTCCGGAGATTATTTTGCGGATCATTCCGGATCGCCGCTTCCACGGGATGGAGGGAAACACCTCTGGAACGTTCAGAAACCCGCAATTTTCTTCCCCTGGTTCTTGCTATAGAATTTTAGAACAATCTTGATCAAACTTCAAACATACGCATTGCACATAAAAATTCAACAATTCTTTATAGATATTTTATAACCAGGATTGATAAACAATGTGTTTACTTCATTAATATTCAAAAAGTTAAAAATTAAGGGTGCACTAATTTTTATTAACGTTTTAAATTTTTCAAAGTTTCAAATTTACAATTTTATTCGTTGAGAATTCTTGATTACTTGTTACAGATAAAAATCTACTTATTGAAGCTAATCTTCATAATATGTAATATCCAAACACTCCACAATGAAAGACACTACAAACCAACAAAAAATCAAATCCAACCCACTTTAATACCTTTCCATCAATCTAAATCACAAGTCTTTTCAACGAGAACACGATGCATAGAAAACCTCCTCACGAAAAAGTGTAACATTAAAAGCGAAAAGGATCACCTTTCACGTCAACAGCTCTCCATGCCAAAGAAACCGTGTCCAAACCGTAAAGGAACTTTAGTATCGACAATCTCACAGTATTCGCCCGCGAAAGATTAAAAAGTGAATCAGCGAATTACTCGTCAGCACAGCCAACGAGAAAAACCAGCCCTTCCGCCATGGAACGGGAGCAGAAGTCGCCGCGTAATTAGCTCCGGAAACTATTCAGCGCTATTTAAATCGTTCCCACCCGTTGAAAACTTTTCATCCTGGATTCTCTCCAAAAGTTAACGCGCGCGCGTTTACAACGTTTCCGCGAGTGTTAATGAGAATCCTCGCGAGCCAGGTCGTTGCAACGATAGACAAACTGCAATATGCAGTTAAATATAATTATAATAGAGCGCGAGTTTAAAACTTCCGAGTTCGAAGGAGGCCGGCCCGCGAACGACTAATTGAGATCGCATCCCTCGAGCTGCTTCGTAAAACTTGAAAATTAGATGACAACCGTGACGCGCTCGGATTAAACTTCCCTTATTTGCACGCCCCGCGCCCGCGACTCTCTTACGACGCCCTTTACGCGACCATCTTCCCGAGCACCATCCCCTTGCCACCCTCTCGTTACCTTCGCCGTTGTAAACTGTATTCGGATTACAAATTTTACGCCTTTCATGTTCGAGCTTTGTCCTTTGAATATTCAGTTTTGCGTGTTGTTTGAGTTCAAGATCAAAGGGGAAAGCTTTGCGAGTTTGGGAGTTACTGATTGAAGGGAGTAATTGTTGCCATTTATTGTATTTATTGTTTGTTATTAGATAGTAGCATTTGGTATATTAAGAGAAGGTTCTGGTAAAAGTAAGTTGCAGAATTTAGATTTTTGAATACACGTATAACTAATAATAGAATTTTGTATATAAGATTGGAGAATATTTAAAACGGAGTTGAATACAAAATACCGTTTTATTATATTTTTAACCAACTTCATTGTATTTTAGTTTGGAACAATTTCATTTGCTGCAGCTAATAATTTTATCTGTGTATTAAAGTAATATCTCTATGTGAAGATTCAAGTATGGAAAATTCACTGTTTACTCATCAGGAGCTGAGGACTTGAAGATTCTACTGATTAATTTAATATATAGATTGTTAATTACATTACCTCAGTATCTGAAGGAAAGCTACGTCTGAGTATAAAATTCCTGGAAAGAGTGGCCTAATAAAAGTGTACTAAAAGAAGAACTTATACCAAGAAATTATATAAGTATATTACCCTTTAAAAGTTTAAAACATCAATTTCTCGTCAAAGAAATTTTAATTAACCTTCTCCATCCAGGTGTATTTATCTTACTCAGTATCTTAAAGTATTACACATTCAAGAAAATCCCCTGTTCTCCGATTGTACCATAAATATTCCCTAAACAGAATTTTTTCAAAAACTAAAAGAAAAAATATTTCTGAATAAAGTATTGTATATAACACTAGAACCAACGTATCATCCAAAATAAATGGTTCCAGTTTTCTTACTCTGCAATTACTGATATAATACAAGTCTGAAACACCGAAAAGTATTTAAAAAATTAATGTCTCCACTTGCACATTATAATAAATATCAGCAGAAATTTAAAAAAATCTATTATAACCTGATCTTTTTACATACTCGACAATTCTAATACTAACCCTTCGCACATAGTCTTTCCATAACGCCTCAATACATAACACGTCGAAATAAAATATTCTCATTACACAACTGACATCCAATATCTCGTTAAATCATTTCCAAAAAATATCTCCATCTCATCAAAAATCAATACTCCTAATTCAAAGCTTCTAGGCAACCAAGAATAAAAATGAAATGATTACCAATTAATCACTCCCACCGAACAGAAGAAAATTACTCAACATATACCATAATCATAATCCCCAGAAAAATTCCAGCTGATTGCAAGAAGAAGAAGAAGTACAGCAAGAACACGAAGAAGAAGAAGAAGAAGTCGAGTAAAGGCCGAGTCACTCACGAGTATCATGTTGTATCGGCCGTATCGAACACCGGACACGTTGGCTCGTCGATCTTCCTCCGACTTTTCACAGGTTTTTCCTTCCCGGCCGTCGGATAATCCCAGTAAGGCTCAGCTAACGGTTATGAGAGTGTGAGCTCTTCGAGGCATCCTCTTATATAGGAACCCGTGCTGGATATGCCCGTGCAGTTACGACGCGTCCCCACCAGAGCCGCCTGGTATCGGGGCCCTACGGGGCCCTACGGTGCACCGCGAAGCCCTCGGTGCACGGCCAGAACTGGCGAGGATCACAAATCACCCCGAGTTCGATTTCCAGGCCGATAAATCAATGTTTATTGGCCACGGTACGAGCCGTCGATCTCACGCGCATTCCGCCCGTACATCCGACCGGGGATGTTATCGTTGCTTCCTCTCGGCCCTTTTGCTCTCCTCGATCCAACGTCATTTTGGTCCACCGACGATTCCTGGAACAACGATTCGTTCCGCCGCGGCTGTCTTCGATCGTTGACGGTTTTCGGAACGATCGTGTTGTTTCGCAGACGCGAAGTCTTCGGTTATTGATGGCTCAGGGAATGTTACTTCGTTTCGGTGTAATTTATGGATTATCGACGGTTCCTAGGCTACCGATTCGTTCTCGCGTTTTGGATTGTTTTATTGGTGGGGATTTTTTATCTGTGTCTTGGGTTAATTTTTGATGAATTGATTTGGGATATCGTTAGTGTTTGTAAATTTTATTTATTTTTCTGTTATTTCTTATGCATAGGTAGTATTAAACAATCTTTTATAATACAAATTTTCAAAATACGTTTTCTATTCTCATATTCCACTTTTCAAGCTATTTTTATCGCACATGAATATGGACATCTGTAAAAAATACGCGGTGAATACTTTTCAGCGCTCTACGTACACGCCGAGTTACATTAAAATCTGCATCTTCAAACAGAACGACGTTTCCTATTAAAATAATTTAAATATCTAATTCAAGAACAGCACGCAAGAGTTGAACACGAATACTAAAAAAATCAAAAACCTAGCAATTGACTAAAAATACAAATCTTCGTTAAACATTCATAGGAGACATCAAGTGATTCAAAGATACAAATCATC